TTAATAAGTTGTATTAATCAAAATATAAGGAGTGCTATTATTAAATTTAAAATAGTATCAATGGCACACACATTTATGAAAGGTTATGAACCCTTATGAATGGTTGCCAACCCCGATCTATACTATCATGATAGGTTTATGTGTATTGTAAATGATGCTGTACCTGGAATAAGTTTCCTCCTGGCCATTGCAGCTGCTTTATGTGACTCATATTCCACAAACGCAAACCCTCGATTCTTGTTCTTGTCACTTGGATTTGGGTAGACAATGACATCCACAACTCCTTCTGTCACCTTCTTCATTTCTTCCATAATCTCTTCCTTCTTCCTGTCCTTTGGGATGGAACCAATGAATAGTCTGCAGTTATCCAGGCTGACACAGACACCAATAAACTTTCCTGGGCGAATCTCAAAGTTGTCCAACAAGGTGATGGCTCGCTGGGCAGCCTCTCTGGTGGTATACATGACGAAAGCATAGCCCCTGTTTTCCCCACTGAACTCCATCATTAGCCTAAACTCATAAATCCTGCCGGCTCTCTCAAACACGGGAACAAGTTCGTCTTCATATACATCACGTGGTATCTTCCCTACAAAAACCTCACAGCCGCGAGGTGGTGGGGGGCCTTCCCAGCCTGAAATAAAAAAAACAGTATTTCTACTTTATCATCTAGAAATAAAGCTTATTTTGATATGACCATCCAAGATCCTCCCTTCAACTCTATAAGTACCTATGTGTACCTAATTGTGTCTTTTTTTTTAATCACTGGTAAACATTAATGTCATGTGATGAATAATGATTTTCTTTGAATGCTTTTGTTAATTAATTGATCGTAGTTCTTACACTATTTGGAAGTCCAGCTATGTAACATTGCAATTATAAATAAAAAAAACTAAGGTGGTGTTTTTTTTAAGAGTCACATTATTAAAATACAAAAATTGATATTCATTTATTCCTCACAAACCTCAAAGGCTACTGAGGCATACAAAGTGCTTTCGAATGACACAAGAACTGTGCTTGAAGCATGTATAGAGCAGAAGATACAACTACAAAAAAGCCAAGATACCTACACAAGTGACCATTTTAAAAGTCTATCTAAAAGATTATATGAAATCTTACTGTAACATTTTGCCTCAAATACTTCCTACATAGGACAAATGTATGCTGAAGAAAAAAAATACCACAATCATACCATTATCAGGTGGAATTCTAACAGATTTAAAGAGGGACTGGATCACTAAATTGTACAAAAAGGTGAAAAGGAGAGATGCAAAGGAACAATAGGTTTATTCCATGCTGAAAAAAAGAAGAAAGAGAACACGTTTCAGCCGTGGAGCCTTCTTCAGGTGTGACACCTGAAGAAGGCTACACGCCCGAAACGTTGTGTTCTCTTTCTTCTTTTTTTCACATTCACAGTAAAGCTTAATCTGCGAATTTGTGATCTTTGGGAGATACAACGCAATACCCAAGTGAATTGCAAGCAGCACTTCATCAACGGTTGAATTGGCATTCCCCTCTAGCTTTGTTTTTTGAGTTAATTTGTCCAACAAGAAGAAGTCATGTATCTCAAACACATCATACATAACACATTAAGTATTTTCAGAAACAAGGCAGAAACAAGATGGAGCTGTCTGCACTATTACTGAAAAATCTAATGTACTGTAAGATTTATTTTAGTATTCAATACTAGCTACAATGTTATTTAGTCGATCTAATAAAAATACTTAATTTATTATTTTTACCTAATTAAAATACCAAAGAAAACATACTACTAACCTTAACTGTTCATCAAGTAAACTGATCATACAAATAGCTTCCAAATTCCATAAAAATCATCCTGACACTTCAGACTTTTACAGAAATATTAACAATTCTTCATCCATTTCCTAACTGCTTTATCCAAAACAGGGGAGCCGGAGCCTATCCTGGCAAGCAACAGGTGCAATGCTGGATACACCCTGGACAGGACGCCAGTCGGTCACATAAATGCACACACTTCCACCAGGCCAATTCTCAAAAGCCAATTAACCTACCAGTATGTCTTTGGACTGTGGGAGGGAACCAGAGCACCCTGAACAATCCCACACGAACACGAGGAGAACGTACAATCACCATACAGATAGCACCCCAGGTCCAGAATTGAACCCAAGGCCCGAGCACTGCGAGGCAGCAATGCCAACCACTGTACCAGCATGCTGCCCTATATGAATAATTACTTGAAATATTATTACAGGCACTATGAAAAAAAATGCTTTAAATAATGCTATATATCAATTACCCACCTGGTGGTGGACCCCCAAATTTCCTCTGCCCATTTTCCTGGACCATGCTATAACCTGTCTTCTCCATCAATGCAAGCAGAGCAGCTCCATTAGGGCTTTCCATTCTGCCACCATCATGCAGCGAACTTCCATTTTCTCTAGCCATGGCTTCAGAGGAAAAATAAAAGACATGCGTTTCAATCGACACAACACTGGTGTTCTTACACGTCGTAGGGGTGATCACAGTAGGGGTGGTGCAAAATAAAGCTCATTTTGTGTTGGTCAAATATTGAACACTTAGTCAAATACCAGGGGACATTTTCTAATACAAGTGATTATGTTTTGTCACATGAATATGAATTGCACCCGTAATCTTTACTGCTGTGTATTCAACTGATCTAGGAAAGACAGCGCCGATACGTTTTAAGTATTAAAATAAGTTTTTAAACAAATGTTTTTTTCAGTACTTTATTCACTAATGCTGTATAATTTGCAAACTAAGAGCACAATTAGGGTTACGTGCATTTTGGATATGATGTAATTACTTTTTCTTTCCTCAAGATCGCAACACAGTTAACGATAGAAGATCTTTTTTATTTGTAATAAAGGGAGATTGCTAAATGAAATATTTTTGATGGGTTTGGTGGGTAAGGGATGTTTTGTACGCGTTGATTCTTGGTAAACTGTTGAGTCCAATTCTCTAACTGGGTACTGTATCTTCGGTAATTGGTGTAAAGTTTTAAACAATTTCCCTCTAACGTTATATCCAATACAGATCATTCACGTCGATTATATATATAGCATCTCTCCCCCATCAGACGCCGAACAGATAATGAATTTGAAACTAGCATAACTGGCAGTTTTCTGTTTTGAGCCCCGGTGCTTGTTTGGCGGGAAATTAAAATTAAAAACCGCGTCATCCGATTCTTTCAGATTACTTTATTTTTTTCTGCGATAAACTGCTTAACACACCACTCTTCTGTCATTTCCACCATTTTATAATTCCCGCAGCTTTCCTTAACTGTCAGCTGCGCCTTCAGATGTCGTAATACTATTCATACTGCGAACACAAAAATAAAAATTGTTACCTCCCTCTCGCGTAGTGTGGGATTAAGCGTAATTTATATAATGCAATGAAGAGACATGAATCCATTTTTGCATTTTTGTCTTCTTAAATTACTGATAACACATGGGTCACCCTTTCAATCACTGTTACGCAGAATATGTGTGAACACGCGGCTACGTTTTTAAAACCAATTTAATTTACTGACTTCAGTACAACAGCTTTCAAGTTCAAGTTATCCACAGCTAACCCAACGGTCCCGGTTCTTTGTGGACTGTCAGGTATTCCCGCAGGTTCTGTATAAAGTTTTTATTGCTTTAAGTCTCCAGGCCCACCGCCTCAGGCGCGCCCGTGCGCTTCAGGACGAGGTGGGTCAGTCACCCAAGTGCTCCTTCACCCAAGACAAGACGCTGTATTAAGTCTCGGAAAGCTGACAATCGGCAAAGTTGCTTAATTGTTGTTGTTGTTGTTTTAACTGATTTCTACTAACAGATGATTTTTACTATTATTGTGGATGTGACTGGTGTCTTCACGAAACTACAAAGTCATTAGCTTACCCTACTGTAATCACCGCGTGTTCAGAGCCGCACCCCCCTCCTTACGCGTTTTCAAAGACCTGAAAACAAAATTAGCGTTTTCAGCCTCGTGTGCTTTATGCCGGCCAATCAGGAAGGCGGATATCACCGAAAGCGGGAAATGTGTGTGTCTTATGTAAATATACAGTGACGCCTGTTAGTACTGTACTTGCAGAGGTGTTCTGATATTAATTGGTTACACACTGTAGAGTTTACAAGAACATGTATGGATGCTTAGGGATATAACAGCCGATAACTGTTCAAACTTTAAACTAAAAAAGCTGCTGAGTAACTGAGTTAAAGGAAACTTAAAATAGTAAAACAGAACACGTCACAGTCCTAACGCCCCCAGTAATACATACCGACTACCAGGGTAAGGATGCACATTTTACCCCTGCTGGCAACCCAGACATTACATGATTAGGGTCAGACTTAACTCCCCAGACATGCAAAAGACAAAACGTGAACTGCACTGCACTGCTTTGATCCATTGATCCCATACAAACTCGTAGTGCAACCGCAGAGTCATTGTCCCACAGTTCCACAACCCCTCACCCCCAGTAATTTAATCGACTATTTAATAATGCCTTAGTTTACCTCTTTACTATTGTTTTCTTTTGCAGGGAGCTATATTACTTCACATTCTACTGTTGAGTAATATTGATCTGGACTTAACAGGAAAGAGTGTTTTATGTTTAAGTAGAATTTAAATGTCTCTTTCTTTTTATTCCTCGTTTTTAGATTTGGAAATTCTGGGACCATTAATGGAGCAGCGAGATGTGGTGAGCCTCGCATTTTACGTCGTTGTTGACAGCAAATACACTGCTTAAGGAGAGTTGGCGGCATCATGTGGCCATGTGAGAGACTGAAGAAATACGGTAGTCGGAACTGAAATAACTACGTTCATCCTTATCAAATGTTTCTTTTAACTCTAATAAGTATTCTACATATTATGAATATATTCGTTAACGAAATATATGCTACTGAAATTTCCTGAACATCTTGGTCTACTAGTATAATTCTTAAACATATCATTTACATAGCCTTGACACAAAGGTTACTTATATTTACTGTGGTAATATAATTGAAAAAAGTTACTGTACATGACATCTTAATAGTCAGTATTGTTACAGTTGTGGTTTTGTGATTAAAATGTTGGTGGATCTGAAAAGACAACCCTTTCTCACTGGTGAGACTGATAAAGCATGACATAAACATCTATTTTATTTGTGGTGTACAGTATATGTACCATGTCTGTGTGTAGTCTAAAGATGTACTGGCATGTTTTTTGGCTTCTGAACAATTGGCACTGTTGTTTGTGACTGTGAGCCCTGCGATGAACTGGCATCCCATCCAGGGTGTATCCCACCTTGAGCCTGTTGCTTGTTGTCTTAGGCTCTGGCTCCCCCCACAACCCGTATTGGATGGATGGAAGTATTTGTGGGCAGGTTTGTCTGAATCTGGAATGTAAACTGGTATGTAAATTCTTCTGCTGTAGCACCCAGGCTGTCAGTTCATAGATCACTCAAATCACTCATCAAGATTTCTAACTTGTTCACCTAGATTTTGGTAGGCTTTTGGTTGTTAGTAGGTCCCTTAAAGAGTTTAAATCAATCCAAAGTGTTCTGGGCTGCAATACAAGCAATATAAAATTGTTCCCCTAACCTTCATCATTCCTTTTTGTCAAATTAGGGTTGAAGAATTATTTTTGTCTAATTCTGGTAAGATACATTTCAATTAAATTTTTGTTGTATGCCACAGGAATGTGTGCAATTGTAAATTTTGACATAGTGGATAATCATGACAGAATGACAGAAACAGTATTGACAATTTACCAAACTAAAACAATGAAAAGGAAATGAGTTTCACAAAGATTTATATGAAATATTTATCCCCCTATAAAGAAGATGCAACAAAGGACCTGATTTGCATTTCAAATGTCATATTTAAATAAGATATCACGCATTAAATTAAGCACACAACTTTATTTGTGCTCAAAACAAATGTAAGCTCAACATTATATTTTTAAATCAGTTTTAATACAGTAGTCACAGCCACAGAGTCTTTGTACTCTAAAATGATAAAAGTAAATGTTTGTATTTTGACTGAGGTCATTTAAGAAACAAGAAGCATGACATCCAATAAAAGAAATAAATTATGACAAATACATGTACTTAATGCGCATTCCATCTTACAAACACTTCAATAGTAACAGCACCTTCAATCATTTTACACAAAGTTTTTACAACAACTCAAGAGCACTACTGCAGCTACAGTATGAATCATACTGTAGTTCTAATGAATCTAAATGGAACATACAGTAAATATATAGTTATTTTTCCTATTTTAATATTATTAGTAGTAGTACTCTACAACCAAGTCACAAACATTTATTTATTCATGATCAACACAAATTCAGCTTTTCAGGAAAGTAGTATATATTTGTACATTTTAAATCCTTTTGGAGAAAAAAGGATATTTTTCAGATAACATCACTCATGATACCTCATTTAATAACTTAAGAGTAATTTAATAAAGTAATCGCTCCTCTACAAAATCCATAATCCTTAAACAATCAACAAGTATATCTATTCCCAGTTTTCTTATCTCCAGGAGTATCTTCAGGAATATCAAATACAACATTTTGTTTCCTCTATGAAAGTATAATTCTTAAAATGCTATGTATTAAGTATAACATATACTGTATTCATCTGAAAATGTTCTGAATTAAACCTGTTTTTATTTTTACAATGTGGTTCAGACTAGATCTTTTTTATTATAACGGAAGAGAATAACCAACATATTTTTAAAAAAAAATCCATCAGTGCGTTTGTCGTTTTGTTCAAGAATTCCTTGGGCTTGCTGGCAACATCTGAATTTCTAGACGTCGCTCTTCGCTGTGGAGATAAACGGCAGCGCGTCCCGAAGAACTGCCTTGTGTGTGGATTTCTGACTCGATCCGACGGGAATGTTACCATCCATATTGGTGTGTGATTCCAAATCCACTCCTCATTGCACCGGAGTTGTTTCTTTAATTGGACACCTTGCCATGCCATTTCGTGCCCACGGGGGTTAAGAAGCCATCCAGAGGGTAAACGGGACGAGGGCGGCGGGGATTGTGGTGTACGGCGCCATTCCCAGGGACAGAATGGAGGCCAGTCCAAGCACCGCCGTGAAGAGGACACCTTTCTTGCTACAAACGATTTTCCTGACATTTTTGCAGAACTGAAAAACAGTCGAGAACAACACCATGAGCTTCTAACACAAAGGCAGGAGGTCACATTGAAAATTGTTCTTAAAAAAAACTTCAAAGCTGACAGACATATGACAGCTTTAACACCTAAAATGTTGTTAACATACTGTATAGCCATAATTGTCTTGTAAAATGCTAATCAAACATTTGAATGTATTTACATACTCTCTTTACACCTGGGTCAGAACCGAAAAACAGTGAAGAAAACCACATTGAGCCTCTAACATAAAGGCAGACGCCCACTCTGATTGTAAATTGCACTTTGAAAAAACTTCAAAGTTTATTGAACACATACAACTTTAAAACTTTAAAGACCTATAGAGGCCACAGATGTAAAGGATTGTTTTCCTTATAATTGTTTTTTCTCCGATAGCATTTCCGGGACAGGGTTCCGGGACAGTGACCGGTGTCACTGTATTGGATAAAGCAGATAGGCGATGGATGTCATTTTTCTTCTACTGCATAGACAATTCTGAAAGGTTTATCACCCGGGATATGAATTAAGGTATATATGCGAAATGTAATGCCAGGGAAGAAAAAAAGAAAATATTTAATGTACTTTATCATAATTTATATTTTGATTATATGTTTTTGATTATATTATTTTACCTTTTTTTTAATTGAGGTTTCCAATAGAAAACTATCCCTCTCTACTACCACTAGATGGAGTCTTTATTCCATGAACAGCTATCAGTGATAAAAGGAAGTTTTATTTTTTAAAAAAGTGAAAGCCGAGGTGCAAAAAAAAAAATTCTGCTACAATGGAACAAGTCATCTCCCGTCGCACAATATAATAAATGAAGTCGGTCTGTATTGTACATATATGCATAGAAACTAAAAGTAACATAATCTTTGTAAATCTATAAAAAACCCTGATGTACATTTTGTCATGCCAAGTATGACTGACAAACACTACAAATATTAAACAGACATGAACAGTTTTGATTACATTTGAGATAATAGAACAAGTGTGCATAAAGCCAAGTATTTACGATACACAGTCAACAAAAAAGGTAAATATACTGTATATGTACTTTAATTCAATTATCAAAGTTACAGATGTACAGAAAAATCACAGTAACTGTAAGCTCTTAAAAGTGTACAGTAGGTAATAGATTGCAATGTGTGAATAACTGATTTCGCTATGGATGCAAACTTGTTGAAAGAGAATGTAGCTGTGTTAACATAAGTGTTTACAAATATTTATGTCCATTAAATATGTTCCTTCCTTAAAGCAGCTCTGGTTAGATTACAAACCTGTCATCTATATCTATGTTTGGTATATACAGTATATAAGTAACAGAAAAAGTGCAGCCACAAATTACATGATCAGATACTTCACAAAGGGGTAAATCCTCCCCTTGATTAATCTTAATTCTTAAACCTTGTTAATCCATGTAAAGCTTTACTAATTTACAGCAGTGCCTGCTAACAATTTATTCAAATTTCTTTTGGAATTGTAAGCACAAATATATGTGTTATTCCCATGCATTGACAAATTGATTTTTTTTACAAATCCATGAATAATTGTTGAAATTTGGGGCACGCTAATCTCAGTGCTGTGAAAAATGTATCCTATTGTTAAGTGGAAGTGACTTAAAGATAGGAATTACTGTGACATAAACTGAACATAGAAACAGCATGGTACATCATGTGCAACATCATGTGTTTGAGCCTTGTTCAACATTAAAGCTGTATCAAATATCTACTGTATTGTTAGAATTGATTTGTTAAGGTATTATGTTAATGCCTGATGTAGCATAATTGCATTCACACTGCAATTGAACACCATGCTCATCACTCTTACATATGAGTATAACTGTTAGACATTTTCAAAAGCGATAGTAGTTACCTGACCAGATGAGGTCCGCCCAGTAGAGTCTGCTAATTTTATTATTTTGTGCTTCTCAAATTGTTAACATCACTTCAGAGTCTTGGCAGCATCTGATATGGTTTAATTTAAGATGAAACTATGTAATCAAGCATCTTCATAATCTTTATAATCAATCATAATGGTTTATCTTTGACCATAACTGCTAAATAAGCTCCCTGTGGATAATATCGAAATCGAAATAGAAAAAGAAACCTTCCATCTGTAATGAGAAAATCAGATGAAGCTTCTCTAGTGAATAGAAGCCATACAGTAGATGTAACTTTTTAGACTTCTAGACTTTTTAAATTTTGGCTATTATTTATAGTATATAAATAATACATATTATACATTATGCACTTGTATTTTATATATTATATATTTTATATTGGGGCATGTCACATAAAAATCAATTTTATTTTCAATTATTCCTGTTCGACTCTTTATTTCAAAGTAAATGTTTCTCCCAAGTAACATTAGGCTTGAGAGGAGTCAGATAGATCTCCTCAACAGAAGTTTTCTTCTGAATTTGAAACAAATCCTAGAAGTGCAATGGCCAACATTCTGTAAATTGGATATAAATCTAAAAAAAATACAGCATATAGAGACAACTTCCACTTACTGTATATATATATACAGGAGACTCCCTTAATACAGCAAAGACAAAACAGATAAACTCTTGGCTTCGTGCAATCATAATGTCAGTTATCATATTTAAATATATATTGGATATTTTATGTAATACATATATAATAACTATATACAGTATATATCTACATTGTTTCTCAGTCATGTATGCAATTGCTTGGATCTAGTGTTCTTTTCCTATTTTTAGTCCAGGATCTATTGTCCCTCTAGGATGAGAGAGGCAGAGTAGTTATAGATAGATATCTATCCACCAGTGAATGCTACTTTATACATGTTTTATTATTTTTTGTCTTTATAAAAATATTATGTTGAATACGGTTGAACTCCCTACATAGCAAACCATAAAGTGTGATATTTATTTTGCTTGTTGTTGATTTGGACCTTATAATTGATTTTCAGCTATTTAATAAAAGCAAACAATAAAAACATACTTGTATTATTTCTTAGTTTAACTAAATTTACCAAACTGCATGGAATCTTGCATTTTGGAATTTGATTACTTCTTGTGAATGAGATACTTTAGGAACATAAGAATAGTTACAAATGAGAGAAGGCCATCTGGCTAACAAAGTTTTGTGTGAAGTCATGCATAAGTGCATTCTCTTACACTGCAACACAACAGTGTTGTCAAGCCTATATGGTCGAAATGACACAATATAGGCGTCAGACAGGTAATGGCATGGTATAGAATGCAACCTGGTCTCCAATTATCTGAATTCTTTGCCTTCAAATTGAAATAAATCAACTTGTACATTGTAGAGGACTGAACAATTTGGAGTTTTTTTCTTCCTAAAGCTTCCGGTAATACGATGGTGTTATCAGTCAATTTCCTATTTTCACAGTATTATTTTCCAAATCTAAGTAGTATGTTGCCATCTATTTTATTTTAAGTGCAGCTGATGTGGTTATACTGTATCAAGATTTCTAAAACTAAATTTCTTTAAATGCGCCTTGTAAATGCATCAAAGGCCACCATGGTTCTCTGTTCTGCTATACTATCTCTGCACCCCACAGAGCATTCTGTCATCAGCATTCTAAAGCACACAAACACAGACCATAAGAGCATTAAGGATTTTCCGTCAGTCTTTTGCCATATTTCTGGGAGAGAAAATGCCACACAGGCTGTTATACAAGATATTTCAGAATCTGAGTCTCAAAAACACTGCCATTGCCTATCCAGATAATACATCCTGGACTAAACCCCACTTTTCACCTATTACATGATGAAAACACCCTAGCATTATAACTCTTGTGTAAACAACCCCCAAAATGTAATGTCATTGACACACCTACAGTTCAGTTCTTGACCTGACTCCTCTGTGCTGCATATTGAAAGTTTTAAGAGAATTACTACCATGGTTTCAGTTTCAGGACAGTTGGCAATCCTGGGTCCTTGCTAAATAGAAAAGTAATTTTTTAAACTGACACAACATTTTGGGGGGTCGTTTAGGTGTGTTACAGATCTGTCACCTACGAAATTCATATGCAAATATCAAATATTAAAGGATCCAGCAAAAACTGTAACGCAAGCAAAACATTTTTAATTTAACCTTCTTCCATTGATGCAGGAAAAGGGCTCTCCATGGATACGATAGCTACAAAAGCTACTGTAACTGCCTGGTTACAGATATTATGTTTATAAAAAACATACCTTTCAGATGTTGTTTGTAAATAAGACTTCAGCAACTAGTTTCATTTTAAGCTTTTCTGATATTTTTTCCTATTTTCTTTCAGTTTAAATGTCATACTTAGAATTAAGTTGTGACTAATATGTAAAGTGCTGGTAAATGTGCATGCTTCACACAGTCCCAAGATCACTGTGAAATGGACATTCTGTGGTTATTTTTCAAAGGTCAATAAAATAAATATATTTTAAATTATACTTTTTGTCACAATTGAAGGCTGAAAAGATGTGTTAAAATGCAAGTAATTTGTGTTTAGTATCACATGCTTTATGTTCAGTGTTATGCTAGAAAAAGTAATGGTTTTCCAAAATTAAATTAAGTAAGACTATGTGATTTTTTTAATGGAGGAAGTCTAAGACATCAAAATATAATTGAAAATCCTTAATAATAAATACTGCAAAATGCATGTATTTGCACAGTAAAAACAATGTTAATAAAAAAACAAATTCTGCATTACACGGATCACGTTATTTTTGTGAGATCAAAAAATTACTGTACCTGGAAGGTCTGAAAACTTATAGCAGTACCATATCTGCAGTACATCACAAAATGTTCACAGTTATTCCAGAGTAGACTGTAACCTGTTGTTCCAACAAGTTTTTCAGCTCTTCTGGCCACTTCTTCACCACTCAGTGGTGGTCGGCTGCAGACTTGATCCATGTGGTTGATCAAAATTTCAGACCCATAAGCGAAATCCTCCACTGTGTCCACTCTCACACTGGCCACTTTGGAGATGACTCCTAAGATTAGCCTAACATTTGTCACCATCTCCTTAATGGCATTGCTGTCATTAGTCAGAGCAGGCAGGATATCAGGTATAAGGTGAGCTACCTTATTGTCCCCCAGATATATACCAAAATGTGTGAATAAAGTTCGAGGAACTTCCAACAAGTCTCCTCTTTTAAAAAGGGAAATATCATAGCTCTGTATATTTTCATTGCTCTCTTTTGTCATGACAAAAAATAGATTCCAAATATTTTCTAAAAGCTGGAAAAGGAACATTTTGAAAGCAATTCAAAATTTTTCGCTGCCTTGTTTTTATCCTAGAAACTTTGGGAGGAGTCAAGGGATTATGGTTACCAGCAGCTGAGTTTTTCTGGGGAATGTGCTGGGGAGTACTTTTCAGAATCATATGGTTACACAAATAATTAATTGGCAGAAAGCTTTCTGGCCTTATACAAACTTTTATTTACAGTATTTAACTGGTCAGATCTATTAATGGATAGCTTTGCTAATGTTAATAATTTCATCAGTTAATCAAATTCTACAAGTATTCCTTGCCTGAACTGGAAAACATTCTCTACAATAGCACAGTCAAAAGTAGGGAGTAGTTGTATAATACATTTGATAATACATTTGTAAAGTCCTTTGAGGAAATAAGCTGCCACTTATGCAATAATTTTCAAGCTGCCTTTGCATAATTATTATGCAACTTATTGTTTCTCAAACCTAACAAGTAGCCATGGAAGAACATATCAGAGACCACTAAGCAACATTGCCTTTGCTGTCCTTTCCAAATAAGCAAAATATTTTATTATTTCATAACAAGGGTACTATAAGCATGAACCTTTAAATTTTAGTCATAGATAAGAAAAAAACAAACAGAGGTTCCACAGTAAAGCTATTTTTCTGTCTTTTATCACCTATAACAGTCATGTGGTTAAATAATTCAGCATATATTCATATACTGTATATTTGCTGATTTTGTGGTTCTTATAATTGTCTTGTCTTTTGTCTTCTGCGATTATACAGAGAACTGTACAATAAATCGGAATTAAATGGTGTTAATTAGAAAGGGATTTACAAAAACAAATATGCAAATCCCTTATGTAAACTTGCAAATCTTAGTACAAATATATGTGATTCAGTTGATGGTGGGAACAACAACTGACAGCCTGAGCCTATCGACCTCCGTTTGTCTGGGCTTTCTGCATGTGACTTGCTGGGAGAGAGTGAAATTTGCTACTAGGTCTAAAACAGTGGTAGAAAAACTGTTCAATTCATTAAAATGTAACATGTTTGAGTTACTTTAAACTTCTTGTACCGCCCTGGTGTGAGCCCATGTGAATTAATACAGATATTTTTTGTGTTCTGTGAGAATGCACTGAAAACACTCAACGTAAGTGTCTCTGATTACTGTTCAGTATACTGTAAATCCAAAAGTAAATCCAATATTTGATTTATTTGTAGCTGGAAATTGTATCTTTTCTCCCTCAATATAGATTTTATGATGATAATCCAGAAACAAAACTGTACAATAATATACAATAATTCTTTGCCTATCTTCTTTTTGTTGTTACCTGGACTCAAGCTCAATTTTATTTAATCAATTGGTAAAATATTTTCATTAGTAATATATTATATGTTTCAAGTGGGCCCATTGAAATAACTACGCCGTGAAAATGATACACTGACATTCTGCACAAATAAAAATCAGACCATAGTGAACACATTTCAATGAACAATAACACTACACAGCTGATTGAGGTACGTAAGTTTATATACATGGAAGGACTTGTTTTTCATTGTTCAGAGAGTGACATGACCATTGTATTTTATCTTTCAAATCTGCTAAGGCAGCTACCACAAGGTCTTTACCGATGGCCTGTCTCACACCTTAAGTGGCAATTCCCATTCTTAATAATAATGTGTTGAGTGGATTGTTTCTTAGCCACCTGCTGGCAGCTACAGAATTTAATTGATTTTATAACCTTTTACATGTGCTCTGCTAGACATTGGTGATGCTAGTGCCTTCTGGTATGTAGTGTCTTTGTCCATGGATGTTGTTAGATCTTAATATTTTCTGTATTGTTCAGATTTTCTTCATCAGCCCTTCCTAGATCTGCATTTTTTTCCCAATGTTAATATTTAATTGTCTCATTGTTACACTTGTTTCTGTTTTGGGTGTCACTTTCTATTAAATCTTAAAGTTTTACAAAGGAATTTCACATAAAATCAGCTTACAAGTCACTGTATCACAGCTTTAACTCAAAATATCCCGATGAAGTTTGTGAACAGCATTAAACTGAGAGCTTTTCATGTTATAAGGGTTAATTAGGAGCGCAGTCACTCAGCCACTGGATGTGGTGCATGAAACTAGCTATGATAAATGTATTCAAGAATTGGTGTTAAAATGCACATACAGAAATAGATGCAGTATCCACAATATTACCAATAGTACTTCAGACAATGCCCAAAAGTACAAATGGTATGTGTTACATTATTCTCCAGATAAAGTACAAACTTTTTTATTTTTGACTCAGCACTTCTTTGTGCTACAACTAACACATGGGACAGTGCAAAGAACCTCTCATTCCTTTCTTGGTGCTGTTTCCCAGCTTGATTTCTTGGACTTCAGTTCCAGCTCTAAAGTGCGACTGCCTCTTTTAATTTTCCCTTGCGGTGTCCAACACTGCACTGCTCATGGCAGAGAGTCAGGGGGGATGTCTGGGGACTCTCTGCAAACCATGACAAACAGAGGTCAATTGGATCAGACTGTTAGCTGCTATTGCCACCATCTACTGAATCACATATATTTGTACTGAGATTTGCACATTTGCATAAGGGATTTGCTTATTCGTTTTTGTAAATCCCTCTCTAATTAATACCTTTGCCACCTCCATCTTCTCTCTGTGATCACTGCAGTGAGTGGTTTGAGAGCGTTTGGCCAGTGGATTCTTCATATTCACTGTAGACACTTAGTGTGAAAGGTGTCAATATTCATTGAGATGGGTTTGATCACTCTCCAGCATTCAGAATTATACAGCAAAACATTGAGCACATTACTTTTGAAGATCCATTATTTACTTCTTGAGTCCTAATTTCTTGGATTTCCACACTGGATGGAGCACGGCAAAGGGTTGGTTTGCTTTCTTCAGGCAAGCAATTGTATGTTGTGTGCTGTCCCCATCCTGCGTGATCTCGCTTTCAAGGTAGGTGAATTGTGTCTCTTCTTCTATCGGCTGGCTTCTTGTTCTGACTGGCTGGTCTGCATTGTGCTTCTGCCTGAGTAACTTTGTCTAGATGTCCCTTGAGCCCGATTTCCTTTGCATTTTTTACTAACATTTCTTTTAAAGCAAGGACCTCTACACTCAAGAACAGCTTCTATCCCACTGCAGTAAGCATCCTCAACAGCTACTGAAACTTCCACAGCTCTTTCAATTCATGTGGCTTGTGTTTATGAACAGATGTATTTAGTTTACAACACCAATGCTTGATTGGATTTAGGTTTGGAGATTGATATGACTCATACAGACTTCGTTTTTTTTATATACAAGCATTTTTTATGTACAAGCATTTATAATTAGAGGTGTGTTTCAAAATGTTATCCTGCTGGAAAATCCATTTGCACACAAGCTTGACCTTTTTAGTAGAACAAGATAAGTTATTAAATAAAACCCGGAAATATTTTGGGACAAACTAAGCATCCCTCGATTCTAACAAGGACACTAGGTTCAGATGATGCAGAACAACCCTAAAGCTAAAAAATTCATTTCTAAAAGGGATGATACACTTTTTACATGAGCTTCATGTTTTTTGGACTAATCATACTGCTGACTTTGGTCCAGTAGCTCAAAACTGATATTTTACCTAGCCTGTGACAGTAAACTACATTTGTTACTTCACATTGTGAGGATGAAACAGTGTTGGTAATCTAAATGTTATTTTTCGATGTTAAAAATCATTCACCTTCACTGACATGCTAGCATGATATATGGAGTCTTACATATTAAATATTTGACTTATGTTTAAGACATAAACCTATCACTAATTATCCGATACACTTAATATTTATTGATTAAGAGTCTAGTGAGTTTCCTCATACCATAAGTACACCAAAGACAAATTATTACTCAGATTTTTTTCTTTTTTATATATCAGTTTTAGTTGGTGTTAACTTGATGGAGAAAGTGATGAAGAAACATGAGTGCAGACAGATATATATCCTCCAGGTCAGAGGTCAAGGGTACATGGGCCACTGAGGGACTTCTGCCTTTGTCAGTGTAGACTCAGTGAGTTTTGGTGTTGATAGCTGCTGTAATTAGCTAGTATGCCCTTTAGCTATAATTCACCAAAACTAAAACCAAACAAGACTGACAAATCTGTCTGTCAGCAAGATGGTGTCCAGATAAGGGCTGACTAACTTGAACAATATGAAGAATCTTTCACCTCTGTTATCTCTTACAACAGATCTTTGAAGAAAAAGCCCCTTTTGTGGACAGGGAGAATGTACCAGTTATCTTTATCTTTAATCTTCCCTAAACCTGATCTTCCTCTTGTGCCAGGGAATAAAATACAGCATTTTTTTCTCCAATGCCCTTAACATAGTACATAACACATGGATTCCAATTTCCTCACATAGGCCAAAGACATCCTGCTAGGTTCATTGGCTTCTGGGAAAAATGGGCCTGCTGTGAGTGTGTGCATGTTTGTGTCAGCCTTGCGCCTGTTGCTTTCTCGGATAGGCTTTGGCTCTGCAGCCCTGAATTTGATGAAGCAGTTAGAAAATGGATAGAGGGAACTTTGCTTGTTCAAGTCTTATACATTTATAATATATATTTCTCAGTATTCTCAGTATCAGCCTGCGCACATTATACATAACTACAGTATTACCCATTAATTACATATAGTACAAACTGAGAATGGTAAATTTTCATTATTTGTAAATTGTTCCTTAAGAGCACTAATAAAATTATACTGTCTTCAGAATTGCTGAACCTTTGATAGCAGCTCTGCTTTATTTCTATCAAGTGTACGGAAACTTGGTATCGTTGTAAACCTAGAGATTTATTTATACAGGAAGAGTTCACTAAAAGTCACAGTTAATTAACATACAACAAATATCAACTGGACAAACACAGTGTCAGAGGCTGATTTAAAGTGGGATCCTGCCCTGCATACAATCCCAGTTATAAGTGGGATTATATATAATCAGGGGAAAAAAAACACTTTAAGCAAGAAGAAGGATAAGACCCACATCACAGTTCTTTTGGTAGTACAGCATTCTATCAGCTAAGAAAAATGACCAAATTTACTTTGAAACAACTTTTATGCTTTTGTGATCTCTTACCTAAATCACTATAACTCTCTTTAAGATCTCTTTAAAATAATAAACTCAATAGACTCCAGTTTGTAGAGTGGCTGCAACTGGATTATTTACACTCAGTTTTCTGAACATACTGTAACGAATACGACCCTGCGTATAACAGGGATGTTAGCCGCCCAGGCTGACGAAAGTCTTCTTTACAGTAGCTCAGCTGGCAAGACCCCTGTGGAGTGAAGCCAGAGACCCGGGTTCGGGCCCATGTGGTGAGGGATGAACCGGGGGTGAGAGCAGGGAACGTGAGGACACAAGAACCTGAATCCATTACAATAAAACCTAGCATTCAGGTCTTTTCAGTAGTTCCCAGTGATTTTTTTTCAAAATGATCTTAAAGAAGCCACAACAATTTATGAAGTCCTTCATGGTCTAGGATCTTTTATTAAAGTGCTTATTCTACACATCACATTTAGAACTTTTCCTGTTTTGCTTGTTCCAGAAAAGCAACTTTTTGAATTAGTTTCATTAGTATTAAAACACAAAATACAACAACACATTTATATTAGAAAATGTATAAATTATTTTTACCCCAATTCAAATAAAGCCCCTAATCCATTAAGGAAAGACAAATATTTGTGACCTTAAATAATGCAAGTATTCTGTTATGCTCAGGCATGAAAACAAATACAATATCAGATATTTTGCAAGAGCTATCAGGAGAATGTTTAGATTAAGAATCATAGTAATTTAGTCATTTAGTCATTTAGTCTAATTATGACAGAGAAGAGGTGCAAATAACTTGCCTGACTTAGGAGAGAATGAGTAAGAATAAGACTAAGAATGAGTCTGGGAGTTGCTGTAAGGGCAAAGAGGAGGTGGAGAAAGGGAACTAAAAATGAAGTATTTATACATACAGTAGGTAGGCGATAAGATGTAAGGTAAGAGTTTGATCTCCTCCCGAGTGTCTGTGTACCCGTATTTGGGTTCCTCATTGTTAACTGTGCTACTGTGTTGATATTACAGCATTGGTGGGAGATGTCCTTGTATATATGTGTTTTGGTTGTTCCAGCAAAGAGCAAAAAGTTCTCATACTAGCATATTCTAATCACAATGCAGCCTTTTCCCTGCATCTTTCAGTAAATGTTCAAAAAGAAATACGCTTTGTCCAGTGTTACTATCAAAATGAGATGCATTTTCACCAGTAGAAATGATACATTCTTTATATGTAAGTTAAATGTAAATCATTTATTTGCACAAAAATACAAATATTACAATTAGAAAATGTTAATTATGTACAGTACATAATGCTCTGAATGTAAAACACACAGTAAGCCTATAGTGATAATAGTTACAATATATAAGAAACAAGTCACTTAATTTTAGGCATATAATTGTTGGCAGACCACACTTGCTTACACAGTAAGCTAAAATGTGATATCAAAAATAGAAAACATACAGTACATCTCTCATTTTCTCATCACATATAGTATATTTACAGTACATGCTTTTAAAAAATAAATGTCCATCCAATAAGAAACAATATAAGTGTTTTGTTGTTGTACTGTATGTGTATCTTCTGTCAAAATTAACCAGCCATCCAGAGAGTGAATGGAATCAGAATGGTCAGCAGTGCTGTAGAAGGAGCAAGTCCTGCGTAGAGAATTGAGATCATTCCTATTAGAGCTGTAAGAAGGACACTCCTCTGGTCACGAATGATCATTTTCAGAGCTTCACAGAACTGAAAAAAAAAGAAAGAACCTTTCAGACCAGCATCCAACTTTTTCTCCATTGTTCAATTCGTAAAAATATACAAATAATTTAATTAAAAATGTAAACAATCCACATGCTTTTTGGACTGGTTTAAAAAAAACAGAATGCGGTCATGAATCGGGTTTTCTGCAAGTTGAAAAATCAGATTCTGTCATTCTTTATCAGATACCAGTGAGGAATCTAAATTTATGATCTAAATTTATTTATGTGTCAGAAGCATCTTAACTGCTTTAAATAGCTGTGTTTCAAATAAATCTTTTACTATATTAATGAGCCTATGCAGTAATGTTTTAAGATATTTTTTAACAAATAATGTTAATCTTAATAATAATATATTTAATTGAAAATAGTGCTAAAACAAAAACAATTAATATTAGATCATTAAATTAAAATATAATGATATTCAACAGCATAAAACCAACAGAACACCCACATGTGGATTTGATTAAAACATAATTTATGTACAGTAAAATACAGCAGTCTTTTAAAGCATGTTGAAAATATTTAAGTGTCAGATGGCATACTGTAGTGGTTCAGTGATTGGAAATACTGTCTCACAACTCTTGGGCCTTGGGTTCAATTCTGGACTTGGATTCTATCTGCATGGAGTTTGTATGTTCTCATTGTGTTTGTATGGGTTTCCTCCTCATGCTCTGGCTTTCTGTAGGTTAATTCGTTTCTGGGAAAACTGGCACTGGTGTGAGTGTGTGTATCTCTGTCTGCCTTGAGATGGACTGGTGACTAGTCCAGGTTATACAGTATCCCGCTATGCGTCCGTTGCTTGCAAGACTAGGCTACAGTTCCCACACAGCCCTGAACTGGAACCCTAAATGAAACAGTTAGAAAATGGATGGATGGATATTTAGGTGTAAATGTTAGTCCTCAAGATAAAATGGTCAGCATTTGCCACACATCGTTATTAGAGTAGTTTGGTCAAACCCTAATTAAGGCAAAGAAAAGGCGTGACTTGAATAGCAATCTTTACTGGAGTAACTCCTTTAGCTGGGGACAACAATGTCCAAAAGGGCATAGAAAAATAGTGTTTAAATGAGTGCAAAGAAGGGAAATGAAAACAACCCACAGAACACCAAAGCAGAATCCTTAATTGCGGAACATGGTGAGTGTGTTTAAAGTGGATCGGGCTCAGATTTCATATAAACTCCATGCAAACTTCAAAGGATTAGCACTTCAGGAATTAAATGAAGAGGTTAGGATTCCTTCTTGAGCAGTGAAGAATGCAGTGCCAACTGATGAGGAGGTTTAAGAGCTTGTGTTGAATAAGAGAGGTGGGAAGTGGTGAGAATGCAGCAGGTTTTGGCTAGAGACAAGAATGTGTGAAAGGTTACAGTCAAGGACAATCCTTGTAGACTGAAAGGAGGGAAATTGCCCAAGTTTACTCTGTGCTGAAACATTTGAAAAAAAAACAAGGCTAAAAGTGCTGTAGCAGGGGCAGTGCCACTCAGAGAAAATCATCCAAGAAATGGAGGATGGAGGTTAATCTGTAAATGAAGGAATATTCAGCAGAGAGTTTTTTAAAGTGTCAAATATCTTGGGCTGGTGCAAGATGAAAGCAAGATGGACTGTGACATAACACTTGTCAGTGCACCCTATGAAGCGTCTGAGGTTTAGGATTGATAAGCATAAATTTAAAGACATTATGATGGTGGTTGTAGTGAACTCAGAATTTTATCCTGCTGGTTTAATCAGGTATAACATGGTCCTCAACTGCTTAGTGTAGAGGAATTGTCAGAATTAGTGAGCAGACTTATTAAAGTCAAGAGCAGCGAAGTTATAAATTGAAGAAAGATCAATTAAGCACAATACATGCAGTCAGGTATAAACAGAGAGCTAATCCTAAATTGAGTAGAGGGCAGAAATGGAAAAGGGGGGTCAGGACAAGCAGGGGAAGAGATGCATTATGATTCAATTAATTTAGGCAGATGTCAGTCCAATCTGCGAAGCTGGAGCCCAGAATTCAGGGATGACTCCATTGATGTAGCAGAAGAGCCACTAAAGAAAGGCATCTAATGGAAAGCAGGAATCTGGTGCACTTTCCCTGTGGGGGGTCAGAGTGAGTATCAGTGGTGGAAAGGGCTTCTACAGGTACAGCAGAAAGAGAGTACTGAGGAAGTGAAAGAGACGACAACAAAGATTTTACTGAGGCTAAAATTGTGATGGATTGGTACCCGAAGATGAAAAAAGGAAGAAAGAGGAGAAAGTAGACGAGAGAGCAGACAAGATAGAGAAGGGGGGGAGACAATATGGGCATAGAGGAGAGGACAGTTAGAGGCCCTCGGCATGTACTGTAGTTGCACTGGAGCTCCAAGGAGGAATGGCGTCATCAGGAACAGATGGAAGATGAGGGCAAATGGCAAGACAGCTGTCTATGAAGTCTAGAGAGGTAGAGGGAGGTCAAAAAGGCGCTTCTTCATGTTGGCAAAGAAAAGAAGGCTCCATGAGGGTTCTTTGTAGATGATGAAGGAGAAAGTTCGAGGAAAGGAAAGTTGGGGGCTGATACCACACCATCAGCAGAGAATAGGGGGAAGGGTATTAGAGAGACCCATCGCTGCATGTGGGGTGACTAGGGTTGTGAAAAAGGGGTCAAGACCCGATGTGGACTGATCTGCGGCTCCATCGGGGGCAGGGCAAGGCAGACGGGCTCCAGGGAATGGATTAAAGAGGTGGACAGGGGAAGGGACTGACTTTTTTATTTTTCCTCCTTTTTCTATACATTTTCTCTTGTTATTTTATTTGTTACGTTATTTGTATACTAGATTTAATATTATATTATTACTTTTAGCACACACCCTTAATTAAGATTATGATTAAAAAACATCCAAACCTGTACTACTTTCATCACAGGTTTTTTTCTTTACTGAATATACATACTGTATTATGGATTTCTGATTTTATTTTTTGTGCTTTATAAATATATACAACATTTTTGTGCATAGTATTTTTTCAAATAATTATTTTTCAGATTTAATGTGACAGGTGAATGGCATTGAAATTGTATTTTTTACTTTTTTAACTAGTAAAGAAAACATTTGAACACTAGAAATAACCCTAACTAAGGAATAATTATGTGCACTACAATTAAGGTTTACAAAAAAAACAAACAGTTAATTCTAACTATAATTATGGACCAGAGCAATGTCTATTTTGTAAAGATAACAATAAAGTCCAACGTTTATCTACATAGGTTAATCAATGTTTTATAGCCAGCAATAACAGCCTTCATTCTTGCACTGTCATACTTAAAAACGATCAAAATTCCATCATCAAGCACTGTAAATCCATGAAACAAAGTCTTTGGCATGACCCCTATGCATTTAGGTCTTGCATTTTTGTGTTTTGTTTTTCTTTAAAGCCTTGATGATACAACTAACACAAAAACATGAAAAAGCTATAAAACACAGAGGGCTCTATATTTCAAACAGTAAAATCCCCATTGCTTCCTACTAAGTGTTTTGAATATAGGGCCCATAAATATCAAAGAGGGGGGCAATGAGAGATTTAACTAGGTTTTGGCTGCTGAGCAACCTTTCAAACAAACTAATTCACTATTGTCTTGCTGGTTCAATGAAGTATTTGTTCTGGCTGAGAAAGAGCAAGATTTAAAAGAATGTTTCATCAGATTATATGGGTGAAAAGATTGAGAAATTTGTGATCCAAAACAAGCCATCTAAATCTCTTGAGTAATTTCGCATTGCCAAGGATACACCAGGCTTTTCCATGATTCAGATCTTTCTAAAACAAAGTACTACAGTACTATTGGGCACAATGCAACATGGCCAGTTAAAATCATCTGATTCACCTCAATGTGATAGGAAGCCAAGCAGCTTGTTTTCAGATTTACTGAGCTGGATGAGGATGAGAAAACTTTAGCTTTGCTGATTTCTAAGGTTTCAGTTTCAGTATTGCATAGTGTTTGTTTGTTTTTGTATTAACCTAACAATTAAGTTTCAAAGAATACTTACAGAAAATTATAACTTGTGACTGATTTGTGAAGGAATTATTTTCAATATATATAACAAGTCTGGGACTTAGATAATTATGCAATTGTGAACACAACTATTGAGCCTAACAAAAATGAACAAGATGAGAAACATATTTCTGCAATTTGAAGAGAACAGGTTATTAGACTAGATAATAGGTATTCTAAAAAACAGGGACTACAGTAGGTAACAATGTTACTGTAGGGGTATTTAAAAACTATATGGTGAAATTAGAATTAATAAAAATAATGACGAAAAAAACAAGACTTAATTAAAAATATTTCATAAAAATTGTGTGATGAAACAAAGTAGCTCCATTAAAAACATTTAAAAATATTAGTTTTCTACTTGATTCTTATAATATGAAATATTTACATCACCAGCCTTTTTCTTGGAAAGATTTACCTTTGTTGTTTTTTTATATACAAACCACCCATTTATCTTATTTATTTATTTGTCTATTATATACAGTAAGTATTAAATTCTTCATCTTCATCAGTGGTGTTTAACAATTTACTGTATATAAAAAAATACTTAGATGACACTTCATAGCAATAGTTTATCTATGTTTACTGAGCGTTCATTCAACCTAAAAGTAGGAATTAATGGATTAAATAAAGGCAGAGACTTAAATAGATCTGCAGAAATAAATATTATTTGTCCTAATCTAATTAACTCATTAGAAATGCTAAATACCACTCACTAGGGCATGGAACACATTACACCTAAATTAGATGATGTGTTTGTAAGGTATTGTGCCATCTGTGCCTAAAAGGTGCTTAATAAAATTAAAAGCATTATCATACAGAAATATATAATAATTTTACAAAGCATACTCTAAAAAATTAGTGAAAAGCATTACTGGAGAAGGAAGGTGACTATTAATTTAATTCTGTATTTTTCAAATGGCATACAATAGACAGGCTGTTAAAGACATTGTTTTTTTTAATTAGTGAATAAACATGGTACAGTACATGTACTGTAGCCTATCACTTTTTCAAACATTTAAACTCATACTACATATTGGAGGCAGGTAGTTACAATTGGCTGAATGGTACCAGATGATTATGTGTAACACCAGATCTTGGCATGAACTGAGAAATTTGGGTTAGGCTGGTATACAGTATATTTTAGAGCTGTGCAGAAGGTAGTAAGTTACACGCTCTGCACAGTGCACTGATTTATCTTCCCACACGTTTTTAAATGAGTTAAAGAACCAGGATAAGGCATTATTTTCCGCCACATAACATGCCGGAGATGGGCAAGTCTTGTTTTCGAGAGTTGGATTTCTGAATGTTTCAGAAGTATTTTCAACTAGCAACAGGTTAAGTCGTAAAAACAAGTAATTTTACATATTATACAAAAACATGATTCTATATGGTAACTTAGCTCGTAGGGGATCCTATAGCTTCCAAAGACCAAAGCTGTGTAATTTGAAACTTGTCATCATTCTTTCCTTTGACTTTGACGCAATTTCCCAAGAAATGAAATGGGCCTGTAGTTATTTATTCGTTATTTAGTATTTTACATGTTTTCAAAACTTTTCCAGTGAAAACCATCAAACCGGTTAGAACTTTCTTCACTTGAGAGTCCCAGGAAGACTAGAGATGAACTTCACTTTCCAATAGGGGGCCAGTTGGAACAAAGACTTGGAATGGAATCGAGGTGCCAAGTAGCCGTGAGTAACTGCATGCGCCCCACAGTCCGCGCGCACAGTTATCTGTTCCTAGCGGTAACGAAGCGCAATATGCATTCATGTATTTCCGCTTCAGGTGACGATGTTATCAATACTGTAAGATTTGCTCAATTTCTCTGGAAAGAAGAAGAAGAAGAAAAAGAAGAAGAAGCTATGTTTCTACACTATCGGCATCAATATATTATTGTTTTTTTATATTTATGGCGTAGTTATTCCTATTCTTATGATCACAAATTCCTCACATCTTACAGAACACGTTTGGTGATTCCCAAGATCCAGAAAAAAAATGTTGTCTAGTTTTTTAATCTCTCTCTCATTGTCTCCTAGTTTTTTTTCCTACACTTTTATAATCCCTCAATGGGTGTTTGTGCTATTAATCTGTTAAACATTTACCTGCTGCTGGGTGAGGAAAAATATAATTTACCTTGTCTGTCTGGTAGCTCACAGGCGTGCCGTATCTGCAGTATGTAACAAAATGCTCACAATTATTCCAAAGCAGGCTGTAAGGTGTAGCTCCAACAAGTTTTTCCGCTCTTAACGCCACATCTTCGTTAGGAAATGGTTGCTTTTTACTAATAATGTCCATCTGATTTACAATCACTTTAGACCCGTATGCAAAATCTTCTACAGTGTCAACTCGGATGCTGGCAATCTTCGAAAGTACCCCTAGCAGCAGTCTCTTGTTTGTCACTACTTTCTGAATTTGACACTTGTCAGTCGTCAGCACCGGCATAATGTCAGGCATCAAATGCGCAACTTTGTTGTCACCCAGGTAAATGCCGAAGTGAATGAAGAGAGTGCGTGGAACCTCCAACAAATCTCCTCTCTTAAAAGAGGAGCCATCACAATGGTTGGGGCATTTTTCTCCATCCGTTGATATTAAATTGAAGACGTTAAAGTTAGTTAGGAGGAAAATCTTCTCAAACAGAAATGTCAACGAGTCAAGCATTTTGGGAGCTACTGGTGTCAGTAACAACTTAAATCACAGCTTTTATTCCATAGCGCGCAAGGAGGAGACAGTATGACATCATATAGTTGCAGGAATCACGATTGGCTACACTGATTGATCTATCCTCAAGAGAAACGTGAGGCAAGGACCTGTAAAAGTTTTTTAATCCTGTAGTTAGTGGCAGTGGAGAGTACGGTGGCATTTTACAGTTCTTAAATTCCTTTAATTTACAAAAACATAAAAACTTCATACGAAAGGTAAATCTTAATACCATATACTTCTTCTCGGCAAGCAATTGATGGCTGTAGAAATATATGAAAAAATAGATATGACATAATTGCTTTTCTTTATTCCTTTTCATTCTGAAATGCCAAGAGGTTCCCAGTAGCATGAAAGGCTACAGGGAATTTAGAACAGTTTTCAAAACGAGCAGAACAGCGATGCATGCGGTAGCAATGCAATTTGGAAACACAGATCTGTTTAACCAAATCAAATTATATTCTAATCGGCTCAATGAAATACACGAACTTGAAGGCAGACCTTCACGTTTTCACGGTTTTACCACTCTTCTGTCGAATTAATATGGACAAAACATTTCTTGTTTTTCAAGTAATCATTACCTTTATCCCTTGATAAAATTAAGATATGTTTATCACGATGATGATAACAGCAATGGCAAAATGTGGTCGTTTCATAGCGCTATTCCCTGTATATGCTAGGAAGACTTTTTGACTAAGTAAAAGGAGAGTAGAATAACTATAGCACACATCTTGGAACATTGCTCTCAAAGTTATAGCAATTACAAGTTCCCGTGCTAGTTAAAAACTCTCCATATTAAAATTGAACTAGTGTTTTATCAGAGATGAAGGAGGGTCGTTCGTTACTTTATGAACACTGTCAGGTATGGTTAAATACTGTATACTGTATGTTATGGAGGCAGGGAAACTAGATTGATAAATCACCACTAACTAAACATGACTAAAATTCTGAATACCCCTCTGATAAGGGCTTTTTTTTTTACAAATTATGTATGTTTTATGTTTTATTCATTATTGAAAATTTTATTTTGATAGTTTATCAAAAAGCATTCATTGTGGCATATAAAAGAGGGAAGGCTCATTAGTAAACTGTTTATGCTATTCGTATAAAACAAAAAAAGTGTTGTGCAAAAAATGAGGGAACTGTAGAGCAGACCCTGGAATGGAAATTATGATGGCAAGCCGGTTTAGGGAAGGAGGTTTTAGTACATTAAGGCAAGCAGCTGGCATATGGCAATAATTAACTTGCTCAGAGTAGCATACAACTAACCCATTTATAATGAGTCTTGCAGGAAGAACCAGTGACAGAGTAGGAAAACTGAGAGATTTTATTATGCCACATTTTAAAGAAACAAAATTAGCTGAATACCACAAAAAAATATATATTTTTGTAATTCAAGTGGCAGTACAGATTTGGAACTTGGAAAAATAGCTTAAATATACCCACAAAGTGAGAAAAAGTAGAATAAGTGATAATGTGGATTTTAAAAAGAAAGCCAGGAGATCATACAATTTATACTGTAAAACACATCTTATACTGTTATGTTAAGTTTTGTTACCATCCTAAAGGGATGGTAACAAAACTCAACAATGGTAATCTACTGACATCATAATAACAATGCACACAGTAATTTCAGAATAAAATATTTTATTTGGCTGTACAGTATACTGAACTTCTTTCTGCTCTACATTCTCCTTCTCATAATAATAATTCAATGAATGTCTGTACCTGGAGACACAGCTCCTCCATTAAACTAAGGAGGAAGAGATTAAGGACTTAAGTGAAATTGGACACGTCTTCATCTTTGTTCCTCTATTGGTTAAATGCTAGTGACTGAAACAGCATGGGTGACAAAAAGATCAGTCCATTCTCATCAACAATGGCTCTCAGCTTGGGGTTAATACTCCTCAGCAGCTAGAAGGATTAACTTGTGACCTGCAGGGATTCCACTTGTTGTTGAGTTTGATTGCGATGATGGATGCCAAGCCATTTATCTTTGTTAGAAATGTGATGTACCAATTCTTTCTATACCTTCACTTTGCACAAAAGACTTGTCTGATGATCTCCACATGACCAATGACTACAGCTAGCTAATTTTGATAAATGACACATTAACCAGTAACATTTCTCATACTACTAATAATAAGGAATCTGTTTTTTTCCCACCATGTGCCACAGTTCTGATTTATAGAGAAAATATTCAAACGCTTTTGAAGCAACAGACTGGCCCTCATGGCTGGCCAATGTTTTCTAACTCTTCAGCAGAAGGAATACTAAAAAGGTGGCTAATACTGCCTGTTTCACTTGCACAAAAACAATAAATGAAAGCCCTCTCATTTAGCAGAAAGGACTGAAGCTTTATTTTCTTTTTGCATTGACTAAGATACTGTTACAACGCTGTTGTTTTTACAGAACATGAGAGCATTTTCTGGAAGCTGGAAGCAAATCATCTTCCCCTTTAAAAAACCACATAAATTGTTTTGTCATTACTCCGTACGTTTTAAATAAATAGGGTTTCAACGTTTCAAATTTCAACGCAGTCAAAGAATAACATCTATTGTTTTTGTTTTGACCAGACTTCCTATGACATAAATAAGCACATCTTTGCTCGGGTAGCCTATGCAACTTCTTAACATATTTTTTTCATCCTTTAGTCACAGGTGATAACATACAGAATAAAAATAGTGACAAAAACTTAAAACAAATTAAATCATGATCAAAGGAGCTTTTGAGTGTCTGAACTAGTAAAGTTGCTCACTTCAAGCACAACTGACATTGTTTGTTGGAGCCAACTGCTGTGACCGAAATTCCCTGTCCTGGAAGTGCTGGAACACAACTGGGTGAGCACTGCCAGGAATCCTTGGCTTGTAATGCAGCAATTGCTAAGTTTGTAGTGGTATCAGTCAGATATTTATTTCTCCTACAAAATATGCTAACTCTGCTGCAAGTCACTGTGCTTGTAAAACGGTGAGTGTGACAGTGAGCATGTACAGTATGGTTTGCATTATTTAACAGTATACTTGTTTGCCAACCATGCTCCACCAGGGAGAGACATTTGTATAAATTGCTGCAAACCACAGATACAGAAAAATAGGTTCATCCAAAAGAGAAGATTAACGAACTATTCCATACTAACCTCTCGGGTAATTGTCCCATAATCAGTACAGTACTCACATTGCTGGGGACTTCAAACTCCCCATGTTCGGGAGTTGATTAAGTTTTGAGTAATCCTCAAAAAGCTTTGTTCAGGGAACCAGCATAAACTCACAAAAGGCAATGAAATCTACAAAGGCAATGAAATCTAAATTTTGGATTTACTTTTTTGCCATTGGTCTTTATTACTCAAATTGTGTACTGTATAGTCAATTATAAAGACTAGTTAACACAAACGGGAGATGTGGAAAGATAACGCATTTTTTATTCTTTTGATGTACAAGAGTAAACACCATGTGAAAAGCAAATATTAGAATGCTATGCATTTCCTACAGTAACAATTCAGGTTCACAGAGGAGCTGGAGCTTGTCCTGGCGAGCAAGGGGCACAAGGCAAGAAACCCCCTTGACTGGACGCCAGTCCATCACAGTGCAGACACACACACACACTCGCACCAGGGCTGATTTTCCCAGACGCCAATTCACCTACAAGTATGTCTTTGGACTGTGGGAGGAAACCAGAGCACCCAATGGAAACTTCCATACAAACTCCATGCAAATAACACCCCAGGTCCAGAATTGAACCAGGGCCCCAGTACTGTGAGGCACCAACCACTACACTAATGTGCTGCCCCCATTTTGCAAATATATACTGTAGGATAAATAGCAAAGTGACTTGTGGGCAAAGGATTTGTTTTTAATTTTCCTACACACAACCAGAACGGACCTCAATGACTGGAACCACCTGATACATCTCTTTTGTTGCACGATTTTATTATTATATTTATAAATACATAATGGGCTTTGAAGAAGAGAGAAATAGATTTTTGCAATCAATACAAATACGCTCTGAAAGATGATTAAGGTTAAATGGACAAATACAGATAGTCTAACTGTTTCATGATAGAAGGTTAGAGAATGCATAGGTGTGAATGCTGTTGAGATCTGTCTTTTGCAAAGAAAGTTACAGTATAATCCCAATAAAACATGCTGCAATATCTGCTAAAATATTCCCTTGTTTAAATTTACCACATATCAACAGCAAATCCTGAATCCTTTGTTCTTATATAGCTGTTTCTGATTGTGGTTAAGAAAATACCCTAATTTAAAAAACAACTACACAATTTCATACTGACACACACTTTCCTTTGTTTCAAAACGATTAAAAAAAAGTGCTCTGCTGGGGATATGATAAGTATTTATCTATTTATTCAGTTGAAAGTAACCTATTAATGGGTTGTTTTTCCATCTCACATCAATTTAGTTTTTGAAAAATAAAAATCAGCAATGTCATGTAGGAGTATGTGAACTATTGGGCTGAGAAACAAATACTGAGTACATTGCAAAAATACACTTTACATTTTATAGTAATTAAAAAACTTTGAGTAGAAAAGAAACAATGGCTTTTAAAACCTTGTCTGGACGCGCTGCACAAACCTCTGCTTACTGGTATTAAATTGTCCTTCCCATTCATGATGATGTGCCCAATTCCCCTGGACTTCCCATACCATCTAACCTTTTGAGCTTTGCTTCCTGTGTAAACATAATTACAGGCAATGACTGGAGGCATCACAAGACTTCAAGGTTTTATGGCAATGTTTGCTGAAAGTGAGTCCTTAATGGGATACAATAAACCCTTATAACCACTACTCTTTGCAATAGCCTGTCCCAGTATTTGCAGCTTTGAACTAATTCAGCTTCACCCACTTTTCACTACATTCGGACTAATAATTATTAACAGCATTCTTATAATTACCTTACACCCATACAGCAGGTATGAGTACATTTTATTGTATGCCCATTAGACTCAATAGGACTATTTTAACCCTCAAAACAAAGATGCTCTTAAGCTGTGATGCACTTTCTTAGAGGTTCACACAAGTTTATTCTTCTAATCTTTATAAATTTTCTGGGAAGTCTGATTCATCGAAAGCAGTAGTTTTCCACACAGGAAAGAACCAAGGAGGGATTATTGTGAGAGAAAAACATGATGTAAAAGTATTTTATGACTAATGCTTTAGCAATCACTACCTAAAGCACTGAGGCAAAACTGTGATCTCCACTATTGTTCTATATACTGTTTTATATAAATATATACAATGGCAGACAAAACAGTTTTCAGTTCTGAGGGGTGGGACTTTGTACAAGTCCTGGAAAGTCCAAAACACTTCTTTAGTCAAAACTCTTAAAACTCCACCACACTGCCTTCACTTATTATGTTTAATGTTAAATTCGCATTAACCAATATTGATGAACATTAAATCATTAATGATTTAATTTTGGTTTGCATGGTATCTTTCATAATAATGACATACATTATTATGTATTGGCTAATAAAGTGATTTCTTATAATGTATAAGTACATTAGACTTACTATTTTGTGCTAGATACATTTATTTTTACCTTATGGTTACACCACAAGTGCTTCTTATACTAAACTTTAAAGGCTGTCCAGAATAATTGATTATACGAAACAGTCTCAAAGCTGCAATTGTTTTGTACAGATATGTGGACCATTCAAACTTAAAAGGGAATGGATGTTTCACTCTGGTGATGTAAACATATTCTCTGTGTCTGCATGCATTCTCACTATGCTGTGAATTGCCTGAAAGGAAGGCAATCTATTTTACAAGGCAGGGTGGAGACAGAGATTCTAAGTATCCTTAGATTGTTCTTGATTGCATTAATTCACATAATTTTGGTCTTATGGAAAGGCATATAGCTAGGATTTGAAAAACCATGACAAAATTATCAGACACCTTCTCCTATGCTGTAAACCTTAATTTAATTACCCCTTCCTTATTTCTTTTTTTTTCTTAGTCTGTGAGGTTAGATGTTCTTTTATGAAAGAACAACAACAACAAAAATTAAAAATTATACTAGTCTCAAAAACAGATGGAATAACACTTTTCATTGGCTCTTGTATTACCATCAGAAAAAAGAAACACTGAGGTCCAGTATTTTATGAAAGATTAGTTTATTTTCTCCCAATGATGTCTCCTGTGTGGTGTAAAAGAGGGATATATTTAAGAAAGATTCAACTGCTATTGTTTTTATATGTTCATTCCTTCTATTACCTAATGGACAGAAAAACCTATAATAAACCTTAAAATATTCATATTCAGTCTAAATGGAATTTTATCAAAATATTCTTTTAATTCTACTCTGAAATAATTTAAATCAAAATGTAAAGAAGTACCTAATTATAATATGGAATATTTTAAAAAGCATAACTAAGAAATGTTTTATTCAAACCCAAAGATAACTGAATTTTTAATAATTTAAAAAGTTAACTTAAATAATGTTATCATTACATGGACCTTGGTAAAACATGAATAAGAATAAGGTGTGTCTAGAGGTCTGTCAATACAGTTTTGGTTACCTGTAAAAAAAGTTTAGTTTTTAAATAGTTCTATATAATACTTCAGTAAAATAAAAACAAATAAGGCTTAATATACAATTAAAACCTGCAAGAACCATTAATTTAATCAGGTTCCTGGTTTTAAATAACTACTTCACTAAGTGGTGATCTGTGTAAAGAAAAGCAAAAAACTTAAAACACCAAAACAGGAATGCCATTATGTCAAGAAAAGGCCAAGGACAGTTCTATGGGTCATTCCTGAGCTGGTGATGAAACAGGGCTGGTGTGTTCTGTGTACACATGCTGTGCTTTAATGGGAACTGACATCTGTCTGCTTTAGATAAAATTAGAAAAGACTGGAAAAAATTAAAACCATCCTGGACCTTCAGGTCTCACACAAGAAGTCTAAAGTCAAGTACAAAGTGTGTTTAAAAGGTAGGTCAGGGGTCAAGGGGCAAGGGGTTCTGATGTTAAGGAAACTCAGAAATCTATTGCTACGTGAAGATAAACCTTCCATTTCAAATTACTTTAAACACAGTTCACATCAACACTACAGAAATGGTGCATGCTACAGACAATGCAAAACAAATCCTTCTACTTATAAAATTTATTTGATAGAATAATCTGCTTTATAACACACTATCGGGGTGTTACATTACATTATGTGATTAAAACATTCTACAATACACACATTTTACAGAATTAAACATTAGTTCTATTTTACAGTAAGCAATAAAATCAAGAGGAAGACCTCACCTTCTTTTTGCATTACATACTGTATAGAATAATATGAAAGGGGCTAGATTTTATTAAATGCATTAATTAAATATATAAGCATACTAAAATAATCGCAGCTTTTAGTGTTTTGTGTACTGTGTACACTTACATTTCTATGTTATGACTCAGTGTCTCCGTTTTGAAAACTTGATATTTAATCTTTACTTTCAAAATGTAAAAGGCACTAGTGGTTTACAACAATTGCTACATAATTATTTCAAATGATAAACATTATATTATATCATAGCACATTGCATGTAGCAGTCATTCACCTCAGTCTACAAGTGACTTTAAATCAGGCAGCCCTTTAATCTTGTAATCCAACAGCATTTGTCCAAATGCCTTGCCCTGTTAAAAAAGAAAAGTTATTAATCCAATAAAATGCCCCCAAAACAAAAAAGGAAATTCATCCTACAGATGAAAAACAGTTCAATTGATATTGATTTAATCACATTAGCAGTACAGGAAGTTCTCACCTAGTCATTTGTATAACTGACTTTGATGCATACATTATATTGAATCCAAAAGCATGCCTGTGTGATTAAGTTATTATAGACATGTACAGCGTGTAGAGATCATATCTTGGATTAAAATACCCATTCTTAAAGACAGAAATGACTAGACACTTAATCCAGTAGATAATGTGTACATACCGTTCATCATAAACCATCATAAATGATTACAAACTAGAGGAAACCATCTAACTCATTTGTTTTCTAGTAGCTACCCGATCCAAAGCTCATTTTGGGAAACAATCAATATATCGCTTGATTCTTCAATATTTTCAAACAACAGCAAAATCAGGCCCTTCTAAAAGTAAAGTTCTTGCAGCAACAAAACAATATAATGTACTATATTGCATCACCTACTATACTGCATATAACTCTGCATTAATACATACAGATGTTCACATGTGTATCTGATTAAGGAGACTAAAGGGTTCAAAGCTGTGCCTACCTGGGGGTCACTGCGAAGAGAGGCCACCCCTCCTCCACCAAGAGACTTCCGCAAAACAAAGTTCAAGCCACAGATTCCTGGGAGCTCATACCTGCAAAAACATTACATGTCTTAAGATATGTGATGTGAGGAATTTGGAGTTATCTCAGTACAACTGGTACCTTCTTACTGTAACTGACTGCATTACCATCAAGGCAGTATCAAGTTACATGTCCCTAGGGACATTAAACAAGTTGAAAGGCCAGACATTATTATGGTAGTCTTACCGCATAACTGAAGGCACTTCACTGTCGTCCTTCTGAATGAGATGCTGGAAATATTCTTTTACAGCCTCAGCACTAAGCCCTTTCTTCAGATACGGATAGAACAGAGGGTGACGAGCTATAACACCTGGAAGATGGAAGACAGTAGCTCCATATGGCAGTTTTTTACTGCTATCAAACTAAAATCAAAACTTTGACTCTTAGCTTAGGAGAGGTATTGTGCTTAAATTGTGAAATTACATTCACATACTGTACATCACACCACTCTGTTAGTTACAGATGTTACATTTTAAATTATTCACAAAATGATTAAGAATGACAATGGGCGGTCAACCCATAACTTGCTGTCTTAAGTGTAACTGTCTCTCAATGTTCTAGTTTCACAATAGCTGAAGGAGTGTTAACATGGCAGAGAAGAAATAAAAAATGAACCAAGATCTGGACGACTCTTGGTTACAACCAGCCTAACAAATATATCTGATCATCTCTGCAATCTCTGCAGAATGGTCATAATCCTTAACTGCTAAAACAAGGTTGTAGAATTTTGAAGAACTGGTCATTTCCTTTGAAATAATTATCTAAGAAATGTCTGCCAGATGCAAAAACTATAACTCCAATGATTGCCAACAGAGAAGGGACAAGTAAAGAGTTGGTAAGGAGCTCTTCAATGCTGATTCACCAGAGTTTTTGTCTTGTTTGGATACTGGTAAAGACGTGTTCACCACTGAGACCCTAAGACCAAGAATGAATCAATGCATCTCAAGACCCAGGTGTTTACTGTGCTGAAGGGATTTGGCAACACAGCCTTACATGGCAAGATTATAGCCAGCATCTTCCAGGATTGGAAATGTGTGCTGCTAATTATAGTTTGCATAAACTTACAGTAATATCACTTTAACATTACACTGCTCTGCTAGCCCAGCTGCGCGCAGCTCTGAATATAGTGAGGAATATTAAGGTTCTGCTGCTTCACAACAATATGTCACTTAAAAAATCCAAGATTGCACTGACTGCCATTAATTAGATTGGGTTTGAACAGTTGAATCATCCACTCTATAGTACAGACTGAGGCCCAAGTGACAACTGTTTTCTCACATGCATAGGTCTGTGAATGGACATATATACAGCTTCAGACAATTCTTTGAAGACCACTGTTGTCAAGACATTGTGAGAAGCAGTGAAAGAATTCTATTATGAGGGATCTGCTAAGTTCGAGAACATACAGTGTGGGCTATGTGTTGAGATGAAGAGTGATTACACTGAGGAATAACATTTTCTATTTGTTTTTTATATAAAAACATGAGATGCAAAACACTTTCAATGCCGATTCAATAAACACACTATACTGTTACAAACGATTAAATATGTTACATTTTGTGATGTACATCTTATTGCACTTGTTCTGCAGGGTAGTCTTCACTGCATACACATTTCATAATACTGTAGTTCTGTGACATTTATCAAGTTTTATGGCATATAAATTTGTTAGACAAAGTCATAAGCAAAATTATACATACAAGTGACACGTTCCATATAAAACCTGGCATGTTTGCCTACAGTTGCAACAAAATAAATGAAAGATTTAAGTAACACTAGATTTTGGTTCTTGTTCACCACAATTGAATTCAAGCTTCAACACTTAGTCTAGATGATTAGCTTCTGTTTAAGTAAAATATTTCCTTTAGCTTATATTTTTCATTATATGTCCAAATAAGATAAGCATTACTTATTTTATATTAATTTGGTATTCTTTGGGTTTTACAACCTCTACTAGACTTTAATGACTTATTTGGCAACACAGAAAAGAGAAACATCACTTTAATAATAATAAATAATAAATAGCCCATTGCTATTGGTGGCAATGTTGATCTAAATCTAAACAGCAACTACACCTCTCCTACTATGTGAAAGCCATTTTAAGTCCCACAGTGAGCCAGTAGTCTGGTCTGAAGACTAAAAGCAACAGATAACATATCTTTCCAATTAAGAGAGACTATTAGTGTTCTCAATAAAAAGAATGAAATTTAATTGCAATGTCACATTTGTTGAACAGATGTTTACATTATGCTATAAATGTGGTTTAAGAAACACTTAAAATATTTTTGGGTGATTGTTTGTCTTATATTGGATTGTGCTCTTCACCCCAGTACTTTTCTGGACTATACCTATAAAATGTGAACTTACTTGATACGATGATTTTTGTAGGAAGATACTACACACGCACACTGTACATGAAGAATGAAAACAAAGGCAGGCATTGACGATGTTGCTATCACACAGTTTTCCGAGGCAAATTAATGCCACACGTTAAGCATAACAGCCTCTAGACTGAGCATTTCTCTACACCATGTGGATCAGATTTTAGGCTGCTCCCATTAAAAACACCAAATACTTTTTTTATTCAAATTTTTGCTGTATCTCATTGAGGCAATTCCTAAACCAATTAAATATTAAAATTTAAGTTCAATAGCTCGGATTTAAAAACAAATGGGTTATCTGTATTGAGATGGGGAGGGGGGGTAAATGAGCATCAGATTTAATGTGGAAAGTATTTTTAATAAGATATCTTCTCTCTTGACTATTCCTTTGTTTCTATCAGAATAAATACAATCCATAGACATACCAATGTTAGCTGTGTCACCCTTGTCTCCACTCCTAGTATAAGCAAGTTCTTCTAACCGGTATTTGTGAGGACCCACAGGCAAATCTAAATTAGAAGAGAAAGTGACATTTATTTGTATCGTACATGTTTTGTTTATACATTTATTGTTTGGTTTTCTAAAGCTACTTCAAAGGAGCACAGATATGTATGATGTCAAGCTGTACATTTAAGTACTTAAATTAAAAAATAAATGTTTGCATTTGCAAAATTGCAAAGCAGTTTTCATCCCCTTCAAAATGCTTTATATATACAGTAGGACCCATATAGAATCCACATGCTATAGATGGCCACCACTGAAATGCAGCATCCACTTGGTGAAAAGCAGCTGCCAGCAGAACCACTATAATGCAGATCCGGTGATCCGATACAACAATGATACAATAATACTTGTATCATGTTTGATTCCTTAAAAAATCTGTTTTGCTCCCAAGCAGTTATGTTTTACACTCACAAAGACTTAAAAAACAAACACTGCAAATAAACATTACATAACATAAAGATGTCAACCCATACATAGTCATTACACACCACTTCTACAGGAATCTACATAGGTTAGCAGAACCTGTACATTTACTTTTCCCAGCAATCACCCTAAGCCCCAGTAATTGCACCCCTTCATTTTTGCACATAACCAATAATTGCACTTCACCAATACTCCTTTATTGTGAACTCATTTATTGAGTAGTTTGAGTAAATGTGGGATAAAAGAATTCATCATTTTGATGAGTCTGCACTGGGGAGCTCTAAAACATCTGTACTGTTCATGCAGAACATGTGAGAGATCGGAGGAGATATTAACAGTTTGTAACCATACTCTTAATGTAAGTAGTTTGAAAGCTCTGCTCGAGTGGGAGCCCCGTTCACTTTGGAAACATCCTTAAGAGTCTGGACATCTTGACTTTTTGTTGCTCAGAAAGACTATTATACCAGACCATCTACTGCATGTCACTCGGTACTACAGAACTGAAAAAACATGGACCAAACCTGACTAGGTCATCTCCAGTAGATGGAGAGGTGATAATTTATTTAATCAATTGCTTAAGGGTAACTGTGTGAGCACAAGTTGGAATTTAACTCCTTTGAGTAAAACTTGATCCTGCATCAATGGACCGATAGCACTGGGTTTAATACTCCTTCACTCCCAAACAGTGCCATGGGTCCATTAAAGACTAAGTTGTCAAGATCTCAGTTTACTGTCTCTTCCGAAGGACAGCACCTCCTACAGCACAATGTTCCCTGTTGCCATATGGAGGCATTGCTTTTTAAACATGTGCTCCAGAGGGAAGTGTGCCAGCCACTTGTTAACAAAAACCTCTCACAGCAGCAAATAGGTCTTTCGACTGAGACTTAGAAGTGACCTAGAGAATTTTCAAATGTAAGCAATAGAGAGAAGTAGTGAGGGTACATGAGTACACAGTTAGGAAAGCACTGTTAAGTTCAGAGTCTTGCACATCAGAATGTATAAAACTGAGTGCATATGGATATTCTGCCTTTATTTTTATAACTCCCCTATGGGTAAGGCCCCATAAACTAAAACAAAGTGCTACTCTTGCTCTGTACTTGGATTGCTTATTTTCACAATGAAGCCAAAATCCCAGGCTGAAGCATGAGTTTGATTGCTCCTTGAGACTGTGGTTTCTTCATCTGAACAGAACTCAGACCATTCAGGACTGAAACTTCAAACTGATTATTTTGAAATAAACAGAAACTTTGTTTTCAATGACCTAATTCACATGCAAAACTGAATACCAGTTTAACTGATAATCCTGACAGCATCTCATTCAAGTGCATCATCTTAAAAAGCCATTCTTTGTTCTAAGGAAAGATAAGCTTCTGTGACTAGAATGTTCTTTACAAATGTGAGACTTTAACAAATCGCATGTTAATGAGAAAACATTAACAAAAAGTACAACAGTATGTCATCAAGAACATTATCATTGCAAAACAAGAAGTATTCAATTCCTTATTTTTAAAATGATCTCCAAACACCCCCTTTACAAAAAGGAGAATTAATAATCCTTTAGTGAAAATAACTAAGTACTTTATTAAAATGTAGATGCAATATTTGGGTTGAGTGATGACTGTGAATGTGCAAAGTCTTTAGTTTGAATGGAAGAAAGGTCTGAGAAGAATAAAAGGAGTGAAGACAGTTCTTCCTAACTAGCTTTTTCAGCTGAATTAGTGGTTTTATGCATTTGTTTTTCTGCTTGGTTTTTATAACATAATATTGATAAATATTTTTAAATCATGAGGTTATTTAAAATATAAAATCAAGGTAAATATGTATTTTTAAAACCTAAAATTGGTTTTAAGCAGGGTTAAGAAATTATATTGAAAGACTACCCCCATTGGTGTTTTTCTCATGTGTTATTATTTTTTTAGTAACTAGTGACTAATGTTATTTAAAAACTTAGTTCAGCTTAGTTCATAAATTCACTGTTGCACAACTCATGTCGTAGAGGGCGCTATGACTTCTATACCTATACAGTGAATTATGCAAATAAAGGGGAAATGCAGCCCCAATTTTTGTTTTTTTTCCCAACTGTTTTTCTAAAGGAACACATCTCTTTCCTTAGATTCACAATAATTCTTATATTTTTGCACAATAATGAATACAATGCTTTTGTACACATTAAAGTATTAAAGCCACCTGTGAGATTGCTGGTTTCCTCAGGCTTTTTAGCATGAGGGGCCTCGGGTATGAACAGGTCCTCTTCCTGAAGTGTCTCTACAAGTTCTCCATTCAAATGAATGTTAACCTGCAAAAAATCAGTGTAGTTTCATGTGTTTCCCAGTCACCAACCCAAAACACAATTTAAAAAAAAAACACAGCACAGGTTAATATCGAACTCACTACTTTGGGCAGAACTGTATATTATTTTTATACAAACTGACTTACAATTACTTATTTCTATAAAGGAATACTCCTATTCATTTATGCAGTTGGATTTGCTTGCACACTTTGTGTAAAGAATTATCTTACTCAATGGTGAATTATCAATGCCCCCCTACAGATTTGAAATCTCTACCCCTCTGGTCTGGAGTCCAGAGGCCAATTCCTGTATGCTAACTTGCTAATATATGGAACTTATATTGAGCTTTCATCTTTTATTTGCAATGATTGGCTTCATACTAATTTAAGATTACAAATGGAATTTCTCAAAGACCACGATTAAATTACAAATTTGCTAAGTCATATAACCGAAAGGTGAAAGAAGCCTCTAAAAAAAATCTAATTTCATCTCACTGAGACTCCTGACATTTCAGAAGAATTTCACTGGCTAAAAGCCTCCTATAAGATTATTTTCAGCTACCTAGACTGCTAAATGCTTTAATGAAAACAGAAATAACCAGTGAACTGCTGGGGGGGCACAGTGTGCCGTTTACTGTACCTTTACTTTGGTTTTTGGAAACAAGAAAAAGAATGGCTTCAGCACTGGTGACCTAAGGGTGCAAAGAACAGCAGTTTAGTTCTCAGATTCGTTTTGTAAGAAGAGGCAGAATCATTCAACTACAACAATCTGTAGTTGTAAACCACAATAAATTATAATGAGAACATTTGATATACATAATTACAGATGATTCCCCGTGTCAAAGATTACACTAAGCATTCACCCATGCTGACTTGGCAGGTATTATGGTGTATTGGTGTATTATTCTTTATCATGATATTGTATTCCAAAATATAAAATCAAAAAGCATTTCAAATTGCAGACCTTTCTGACTGTTAAATAAAGGTCATGTCATAGTCGCGGGGACACTATAGTGACGGGGACACTATACTGTAAACAGGCGCCGTCCTTCAGATGAGACGTAAAACCGAGGTCCTGACTCTCTGTGGTCATTAAAAATCCCAGGGCGCTTCTCGAAAAGAGTAGGGGTGTAACCCCGGCATCCTGGCCAAATTTCCCATTGGCCCTTACCAATCATGGCCTCCTAATAATCCCCATCTATGAATTGGCTACATTACTCTGCTCTCCTCCCCCCTGATATTGGAAGTGTGGTGAGCGTTCTGGCGCACTATGGCTGCCGTCGCATCATCCAGGTGGGGCTGCACATTGGTCGTGGAGGAGGGGAGTCCCCATTACCTGTAAAGCACTTTGAGTGGAGTGTCCAGAAAAGCGCTATATAAGTGTAAGCAATTATTATTAATGATTATTATTTATCCGCTGAATTTTAAAACTAACATAACATAAACCATGTAAAGTGTAACAGAAAATATATAATACTATCATATGTACTGCTAACTCTTCATAGAGCAGCTTACACCTTAGGTCGCCCTCCAACTATCGCAGTCAGGCCAGGAGCTAAAAGAAAAGAGAATAAAATTATGATCTGCTGAATTTTAATTGGTCAGTTATGTGGCTGGTTAAATTCTTCAGTCTGCAATTAAGTGGACGGCTGGTACTGTACATAATAGCTGCCTCATGTCACCCAGGTGCACTTCAGCAATAAATGAAGGTCCCCTCCTACTGTATATGTAAAGTGCTTTGGAATCCTTCTAATAAAGGATTACAAACAATGCAGGAAAGTATTGTAATCATGGTTAAAGAAATGCATAAGATAAGATTTGGAATCATTCATGCTACAGAACAATAACCTTAATTTTCTACAGCACTTTTCATATTACAGTACATAATTTCAAGCTCTGTTCTATAAGAAATTTATATCATGACATGTAAGTCGATACAAGGAACACTATTATAGAGAACTGCAATCCAATTAGCATTAATAACCTTTGAAGTAAATTCACTAAAATTACTTAGCAAAATCTTAGCAACATGTGCGATGATATGTAGTCGATAACTTCTTAAGTCACACTAGACATAGTGACAGTCATAAAGTAATAGAAATTGATCTGGTGCTTTTAATCTATCAGTCAAAATATTTGCACATGGACACAGTGATCACTGAAAGAGTCAACAATACCCAGCTGTGGCAAGAGTCAAGTTTCGGTCATTTTCAAGTCAAACTGAGGTCAATACATTATCCCAAGTTGAGAGAACTTTAAAGTCTGCTGTACAAAGATAGCCTCTTAAGAAGTGACAAGCTTTCTCGGTGGTTCTTCCACTTAACTGAAGGAATGTTTACATGTTTACATTTACTGTTACATTTTAAAAATGTGTATTTCGTGAATACACATCATTATTCAAAAGCGGATATTTCTAGAAATTAAAGTAATTTGAACCATCAGGAAGTTTTTAAAAATTATACTGAATTTTCAGTAAAGACAGAGGTTGCATTTATTTACAAAACAGTGTCCCACAAATTTCTTCAAATATTAAGAAAGCCAAAACCTAGTACATGAAGTTGGACAATGATACATTCAGATTCTGGATCCTTCTTAATGTACTGAATCATCAGAAATGTGTTATTCCTGAAAACGCATACAAGAGTATAATTTAAAACAGTAAGGAGGCTTAAATTAAGAAGAAAATATGGACAAGCAACATTAAACATTAAAAAAATAAAAAGACTGAAAATATGTATTTCTGTAATGTTCTTCCCATACCCCATGCTAATTAATTGGTAATAATAATTTACTTATTTTAACACACAGGGAGCATGAGGCATGTGAACAACATGTATCCCCTGGTACATTAGAATCTTTCAGATTCATGACAAAAAAGAAAGGGCAGTCATGCAGTCATCATGGTTTATACAGACATCCCATTTTAACATATATTCATGCTGTTGGTACCAGTATTATACCAAAAAGGTTCTGGCTATAGCTAGCAAATCAGTCTTGGAGCAAGGACAGTTTGCATGAGATTACTCCATTTCTCAAATGTGTTTTGAGAAACTATTGAGAGCAGGTGTGAGCTGTATTAAATTGATTGTTAATGAAGTCTACCACAAGGAGTGCATGGCGGCATGAAAAGTTTTTGGAAGGATTTGTGAGCGTGTGGGTGCACGGCTTCAATGAGTCATTGGGAATGCCGGTGTTGAAGAAAGTCAAGTCGTTCTGAACCAATCAGCTGCAATTATTTCCGTGTGATTTCCAAAATCTACTAGCCAATGATATGCAGGAAATACCTTTAGTGTTTTTTACTCACCCTTTTAAAGTTAACGACATATTTATCGCAGCCATTTTGTTCTTTGAATCAAATTTGATTTTATGAATGTAAACAGTAGAAAATCTTTGTTAAAATCTAAAAAATAAAAATGCTGACGGAAATTATGTACTGCATGACTAAGGAACCACGGTTTACTGGTATACCGGTTTTACCGCGAACCTCTAACAAGTACTGTATACAAAAGGGTGTAATTTAGCTGAGCCACACAAGGTTAAAACTATTTACACTCATTTTGTTCTTTTTAGAGCTGTCAGAGATATCAAGTTGCGCTCCTAAAAAACATTTTTAAAATGTATTTAATCAAACTGTACATAATTGTATTAAGTTATAATTTGTAACTCAAAGTTATAAAAATATGATCTATTACATTTAACACAATTCAAAAATAACACCAATTCAAAATAAGAAAAAATATTTTCTTTAATTCCTATATGTATAGTAAAATTGTAATTTAGCCCTGAAATCTGATTTATGCCTTTGCAGACAGCCAGTTCAGATATAATAATTTATAGATTATTTTACAATCCAAAAACTAATTAGGCCAAACAGTAACAAAACATCAACAATCTGTCCACCTCTGTGTAGCTTTTTAAGTTTCCATGGAATAAGCAAGAAGCTGACCTACATAACGACCCCACTAATTGTTACAGCTTTCATGACCTGAATCAGTTACCAGTACTTTGTTTAAGTTTGGCTTAAACTAAATCTTGTTAAAAACAAAATCCTCCCTTGTTAGAATTCTGATCCAGTTTTAACATACTCAATTCACTTTAAGCTCTAACCATACTTACAATCAGGCTTTGTGTCTCTCATTATATAATTTTAAATTCTAAAATTGTTTGTTTATAACTGGTAAATCTGACTGACTACAAAAGAAAACATGCAAAAAATATCAGTCAACAAGAATCCATAGAAATGTATTTTATATATTCTAAATCCTGTGTACTTCTGTGTTTTACAGGGTTAAGGAAAACTGTCATAAACAAGTTAAAATTCTAAGTCATTTGTTTCTTGGATATGCCCTTAGAAACCGTAATCTCTGGCAATTTGCAATACAAAAAAGTGCAATTGTGCTTCTGACTTCTTTATATCAGTGATTATATAAATAACTTTGTTAGCAATAAATTTGTTAAGAGGCAAGGGGTTACTTGCTTGCCCACTTTCCCAATTTCTGAAAGTTTTTAAATTTTTACCATTAAAAATCATATTCTAAAATATGTGAAATGACAGGATATTGGAGAAACAGGAAGGAGACTTGGAGACTGCTTCAGAGAACACGTCAGGGCTGTGAAGATTAAAGATCTCTCCAAGCCCATTGTTTCTCATTTCACCTCTGACGGCCACGACCACTCTAATCTCTCCGTCTGTGTTCTCAAAGACGGTTTTCCGAACTCATACATCAGAAAGACCACCGAAACTAAAATTATTCTGCAGCTATGATCACACATTCTCCCTTCCCTTAACGACAGATTACTGTTCTTTTAAATTTTCTCCATTCATTGGAAGTTTCATTTCACACCTCTCTGCACCCATTCTGACTTCACACCTCTTGATTGGCCTCTCTTTCTGTCCCCTGCTCCCGCCTCTCACTCCTCCTCCCTCCCAACATTTGTTCTCCCGCTACTTTACCTTTGCCTACTGCCCTGTCTCTCTCACACCTGAAGAAGGCTCCACGGCCGAAACGTTGTGTTCTCTTTCTTCTTTTTTTCAGCATGGAATAAACCTATTACTTGTTCCTTTGCAGCCTACGCATGCTGACGCAGCTACCCACAGGATATTAGTACTATGAGGAAATCGATTTGTTATTGTAAATAAATAACGTTTTATGATACAGTACTCAATAGCCCTTTAATATAGCAAAACATGAGCTTTACAGTTCTCTTTGAGGTGTACATCAACTAATATTTCCAATGGGCGTCCTACAAAGATCTGTGCAAGGGCACACCGTACAATCTTCAAACAGGTGACAAAGAAGGATCAGCAGGCATCTCTTGCACTTGATAATGTCTGTATTCATGAGTCTACCATAAGAAAAACAATGAACAAGAGTGGTGTTTTTGGGAGGTTACCATGGAGGAAACCACTGCTCTCCAAAAAAACATTGCTGCCTGTCCCAAGTTTGCTAAAGACCACCTGAATGTTCCTCAGCACTAATGGAACTATGTTCTGTGGACAGATGAGATAAAAGTTGAACTTTTTGGTAAATGTACACAGCGTTATGTTTGGAGAAAACAAAACACTGCATACCAACACCAAAACCTCATCCCAACTGTGAAGCATGGTGGAGGGAGTATAATGGTGTGGGGCTGCTTTGCTGCCTCAGGGCCTGGATGGCTTGCAATCATTGAGGGACCAATGAATTCCAAGTTCTATCAGGAAATTCTACAGCAGTGTCAGGGCATCTGTCCATGATCTAAAACTCAAAAGACGTTGGGTCATGGAACAGTATTTTAGAATGGCCAAGTCAGAGTCCTGACCTCAATCCCATTGAAATGCTGTGGCGTGATCTGAAGCAGGCCATTGAAGCAAAACATCCCAAAAAAAAATACATGAACTGAAACAGAAAGGGTTTAATTGAGGTTATTGACAATAAAAGAGGTTCCACTAGTTACTAAATATAAGGGTTCACATACTTCTTCCATCAATTACCTTGATTGTTTAAACCATTTGTTCAATAAAGATATGGAAATGTGAAATGCTGTGTGTGTTGTTTGTTAAATAAGACTGTCTTTATTTATTATTATGACTTAGATGAAGATCAGATCACACTCTTGAACCGATGACGGTCTATTGCATGATACACTCAAACATGGAGTGACAGTTCAGAGATGTCAATTAACCTATCCAGCATGTCTTTCAAAGTTGTGAGGAAACAAGGGCTCCCATTAAAAACACAGCAATAACATGTATTTTCCATTCACTGTGCTGCCAAAGCTTACACAACTACAAGGAATTAAGTGAATAATTTTAAAATATATACATAAACTGGTACATTTTCTGGAGGAAAGAAATTTCAGGTACAGTATATTTTTCCTGATGGTTGAGACTGGCAACAGTGCTGATATAAAAGTGAGAGTTCAGTATTCTGGTAACAACATGCAGTCCTGGAGGTCATACAAAATTCTGTTGAAAGAGCTGTCTAGTCTGTGACCACTGCATGACCTCCCAACTCAATGCAATACACAAACATTCAAGGGTTTCACCTCACGGTCTTGAGCAACAGGCTTCTTTAACAGCTAAAAAGCTAGCAAAACCTTAGAATGAACCATTAGAGGGTTGTAAATTAAAAGTAAGAAAATTAAACACCACTTGCATACTAAAATTCTCCAACAGCAATTAGAGGTAGCATGTGATTAAGCAATTTAAAAGACCAGTGTAACTTAGCATTCTACATTTTAAATGCATAATGTTTTGACACGCAGAGTTTACTATTTAAGAAATACGTAAAGCTAAAAACTGTAAAATATAAGTCACAGTTAAAGAATAGCATCTTAAGTTTGTAAGAATTGAAGATTGTATATAATAAAATTAGATGAGCTCTTACATGATATATGTTTGGTGAATCCAGAATGAATAAGAGCATACAGCAGACCCAATATATCTGTAAGTCATTTACAGTAAGACAGTTTACAAGTTTCCCAGGTCTTAAAAAATCTTCTTTTCCTCAAGGTTGGTACCAAGATCATTTGTTCAAGTTTGACAGCTACAAAGTCGCATGTTCAACATTAAGCTTTCTATTAAAGAGCAAGGTTGAAAATGGAAACTGCTCAGAAGCACCTCAATTCTAGAGGTTGATTTACAGTCATACAGGGTAAGAACTAAGAGTAGATTGAAGGAAAGTGGTTTACTTTGGTTCATTTGACGGGTCTGCTTTCATCCCACACTGGTTATACTGTACGTCATTTTGTGACAGTGAACCAACAAAAGAATAGTCGCACTTGCATCTCAGCAGCAACTACTGCACTGTTGGCATCACTGTTAAAGCAATACAAAACTGCTCCTGTATCTATTTTTTTAAGATAAGTAAACACCAATATCATCTGTCAAGCATCATTCTTCAAGATGATGCTGGAAGCCACACGCCACAGCACAGATTTTCTCATTGATCAGAGAAAAAAAATGTTGCTTAGCCTCACACGTGAAGAAGGCCCCACAGCCGAAAGGTTGTGTTTTCTTTCTTCTCTTGTCAGCATGTATTAAACCTATTACTTGTTCCTTTGTAGCCTACACATGCTGACGCAGCTACCCACCTTAAAATATTGTTTATAATTATAATTGAATTTAATATTATTAATTAATACATTTATTTTTTTCATTATTTAGTAAAATGTCAGTTCTGAAATCACTGACTTTCAGTCTTTCCAAACAAATGCAAAAGTGAACAAATGTGGATTGTGTTTATCCCTTTTCCGAACCCTACTAGTCACATCAGGTTCATGGTTTACGTGGAACACTGTACTTACCCATTCCAGTGCCTGCAGGTGCAACTTCCCTGGCAAAGATTTCCATGGCCTTCTTTTGGTTATGATGAACAGCTAGCCACAGAACTGCTTCTCGAGGCCCCTGAAATGGTGAAAACACAGTAGAAAAAAGAAGGATCATCATTCACAAGACTTTAGTTTTGACATTTGTTTGGTTAACTTCCAGAATAGCTTTTGTGTCTAATGTTAAACATCATGCTAATAATTGGAACATAATCTGTTATAGAAGTGATTCTGCATATTCTGAAGGGAGAGCAGCATAGAGTAACTAGTCACTGGACTCATGACTGATGGGTTGTTAGTTGAAGTCCCTGCTACAGACACTGCTGTTGTACCTTGAGTGAGATACTTAATGTCAATTCCTCTATGAAAACTAGGAAAAGATCTGCCCTCAGGAGTCATTATAGAATGGCTCAAATGTGGAATTTACCTACCTACATGTTTTATATAGATGTGTAAAGACACAAGAAAGCATTAAGAAAATGATTGCCATTATTACTGTATAAATCAAATGGAAAAACGATTTAAAAGCTTCATACTACCAAAGAGCTGCTCTAATCTAATTATTTAGATTTTTTAGAGTTTTTAAAAATAATTTTTCTTATTTTTAAAGTTAAAGTAAAAGACAGGCATTCTCCACTATGGGGTTTGGACCATGATTACACGTTCTGGCTCTTGTGTTCTTGACCTACATTTTACAATACAATTATGCTATCTAAAGACTCTTTTATGTGTATGAAGATGTTTAGTAGGCTTGGCATGTAAAAAAAAACACTAAGACCTTCAACTGAATGAATAAATAATTAGCAGAATAAACAGAATAAATAATTAGCCTCTAAATCTACCATGTCTTTCATTTGTTAAAAACAATAAATAACAATTAAGCCAGTATATTCGCTGTAACAGGCTACTGAGAATGTGGTGTGGATATTTATAAAACAAAATTTAGGCTAATATGAAGCACTTTCAATAAAATCTGAGAAAAAACAATGGGTCTGTTCTTTCACTTCTTAGCCATCAGCTTGCCATTGCATATTAGGAGCAAAGATCTGGATTATTTCATCTTTGAGTTTTTTAACCATTTCCACCCCACCACCATTATAACGATGCAAGTTACTAACCTAATAACCCACAAGCAAGAATCAGACAACTACCACAACAAGAGCAGTAGGTGAGAGCAGGGAATATCCTGATTTAGAAATGTAAACAAAGAAGAAGAAAACTGTTTCTAAAACATAAAAAAACATGTAGTGACTCTAAAAACATGAAACACGTGAAACACGACTTGGACGGGGCAATTAAGGGGACTGGGGACCTAGTATCTAAGACAAATGAAGTACACTCTGTGAAGAAAATTTAAATTGATCATTTGATAAATAAGACACTGCAGGCCAAATTTATGTTTTATTTTGCCACTAAATTTTGGGTCTGTCTTAAAGTAAAAAAAAAACATCTGCAAAGGTTAGTGGGGGCCAGCTAAGACATTATATACAAAAGATGTAGAGTACACCTGAATAGTGTGGGTTTCATTACTCTACCAGTTTGAAATCACTGATCATTAATCATCTTGGCTCACTGCAATGTGATAATGTCACAGTGGAGCTTGAGATCCATACGCACTTTGCCTCGGAAACACAGAGCTGTCAGAACTGGTACTGAGTTGCTAGAGCAAGGAACACTTAAAGACAACATAAGAAGAAAGCCAGTTTAAATCTGTGTGCAGACTGTGGGCTCAGTGTGCACTCTAAACGTGAGCCACTCTGAAGCCACAGCTTCTATCTTACTACTGTGCACTTTTAAAACTGTGCCTTTAATGTAAAAGATTTCAAAGCAGATTTGTCTTTCAGATCTTTTTGGATGGGATTACAGCATCTACAGAAAACAAAGGAAACAGAAAGAAGAACCACAAAACAGAAAGACATCTCGACCTATTCCTCTTGTAAAGTGTGCTCTTTCATACGGAAAGGCCTATTGTGTTTAAAAAAGAAACATTAAGTACATACATCATTCTTATTCTGGCCATGTGGTCCGTAAGAGTCCTCCGAGCCAAGAACCTGCACATTTACAGAGCTGAAATCCTCCAGGCCGAGCTGCTGGAGCATATTTCTTGTCCTGGTCAGGGACAGCAAAAAGATGAGCATTTGTGGTGTTAAGACAGTCAATAATGTAGGAGCCACTACAAATAAAACTACATGTGAACAACGTGCATTTCAGGGGTATTTCAGGCTTTGGACCATATTCTTAGAAGAAACACTAAGCTTAAGGTCTTAAATAAACAAAACCTCTTTAACCTCTTCAGTGTTAAAGAGGGTTCTGTTATTTCCATTTTTTTTTTTACCAGACCCTTGTGTTATGTCTCCATCATCTTTGATTAGTATAATAAATAATTTGTCACACTGGCTAGGTTTTTATCATTTCAAGGATTCTCAACACAATATCACTGACTGGTGTTCTTCCTGGGGATATTTCCACCTTTACAGTAAATACTTGTCCAAATTTTGCATGCAGGAAAAATCGAGCATTACACATTTCTGTAACCATTCATTTTTGTAATGTTGTATTTAAGTATTAACATATATTAAAATATATTTCAGTGTTAACAAACAGTGAAGTATCAAAAGAGGCTATTTATTAAACATGGATTTGTACTTTTAGACAGCAATTTTTAGCATTTGAACATAGAAATTTCTATCTGCAGAAATGTGCACACTCACCAAACTGGCAAAAACAGAAAGCAATTTTTTATCTAATAATTTCAGATCTTAAAATTCAGATCTGGAAAGTCATCTTAAAATATGTACTGGTAGAGAGTTTAATCTCACAGTCCACATGAAGCTTAGCACAGATGCACTAAAACTTTAAAACAAATCTGTACTTTCTTGAAGGTTTTACTTGTTTTTAGAACTCTATAGGTATTTTGCCTGCCCTGGGTTCTTTCAAGTAACACCCTAACAGAGAACTCGCCAACCTTTTTAAAATGCTCTCTGCCGTCTTCTTTCCCTTTGCTACAGCTCTTGGACCAACAACTGGGCACACAGCGGTGGCTCTATATCCATCCATATAAGTGGCACAAACCTTAAAACACAGTATTTATTTAAAGTTAAATTAAATGCTGGTATTTTATGATTAGAAAAAGACATATACTGTAGAAACAAACTCCCACATGCAGCAAATTCCTGGACTCCTGGATGCTGGACACAACACCACACAAACAATACACAAACCACTGCTTGGAATGTAAAGTAATAAATCTACTGTACATTAAGATGCAGGGCTGCCATCATGGGAATCATGTCTGCAACTGGGCAACTGCTTCAATCTCAGATTAGACAATAATTTGTGAAGAAAGGATTCTTCTGATAAAATTATGTGACTGTAGCTCATAATGTTCACCCACCAAAACTATATACAACCTTATGTCTTACTGGGCCATTTCTTGAAGCATAAGAGTATGAGAATAATAGTTCATAAACCATGACAGTGGACCTCAGTTTTTAGCAGTTTACCAGTGCTTTACTTTGTAATGATTTGCTATTTCAGTTGTCTTTATTTTCTGCAACAGATGCAGGGCAACCATAATTTTATTTAATGATAGGTAGGTCTCATCAGAACTTATGTAAATATTAACAGTATACACAACTGACAAGGAATGCCTTAAATCACATTAATATAATCCCTTGGTTTAAGAAAGGATGTGAATACTTTTGTACTTTCACAAAGAAACCACCAGCAGAGGCTGAATTTCACTATCCATGCGTTTAGGACTGAATTACCTTGAAATCACTGGAAGGAGATGAGCCTTTTGCACCCTGAACCTTCACTGCTCCACCTTCTACACCTGCTTCAACAGAAACAAAGCATAAGAGTAATTCATTTCATCAGGAAGTATATTATGCTTTTCTAAGAGCTTCTTCCACAGCACACCTGCATGTTTTCTGATTTTGGAAACCTGTAGCATACTGAAACAAACCTGCAAATTGCACTCTTAAAATGATTATAAGGGTGCTCAGATCGGAACACTTCTGCAGATTTATATTGATGTATCTTCACATGCTGTACTACATCAAAATGAGGTTATGTCTGCGCAGCCTCAAGCTAAACTGAAGGTGTTTCTTCATTTTGACTGTGTCTTAGTAGACAGGGTATTTGGGAAGGCGCCATTAAAGATTATTCTACTGTTTTTCAAATGCATAAATCTTTTAAAATTGCTCAATGTTGGAAGCCAAGTTGGCATTTCTTGAACACATAAGACTGCTCACTTTTTCCTCTGTCTGTGGCTACAGCACAAGGCAAACATTAGTCTTGGTAGAGAAAAACTAAATCTGTTACTTGGACTTAATACTGAATTTCTTATATGGTAAATACAATAGATCTGGGCAGAATTATTTCTTCAATGGCTGCCTTTTCAGGTGCAGAAGGACAGAACCAGAATCCTGGAGATGGTGAGGTCCCCGTGAGAATCTGATCATTCTGTAGAGCAGAGATGGGATACTAGTTCACAGACTTCTTGATATAACCTTTCAGTCTCTAGTGAGTTTGAGGCGAAGTTCTCTCCAAGTAGTCTCACTTTTGTCATTCCCCCAAATGCATACAAACAGGGGTATAAACCCCTTTTCCCCCTTTTCCAAAAGTATACCAACAGAAACACCTTGAATACTTTTCTACAGGACACTAACAATGCTTAGCAGCACATGAACAGCACAAAGGAAGAGACAATAAATAAACAGCACACCAAAAGATACATTAGACATAAATGACACATGAAAATGTATATCCTGGGCTCCTTCCCGAACCCCTACTTCACAATATGGTTCAGGCAGTGAGCCGATAAGAAGCTGCAGTCAGGTGGGCTCACGATTTTAAAATCCCCGCAGAGTGAAATATTTCCATGAATAAATAAATCATTCATTTGTGGGTGGGGATTGGAACCAGATCATCACAGAGACCAATGATGGCTCAGTCACTAAACACGTTCCACAATTTAGTATCTTGGAGGAAATGTGTGCACAGGTCACAGACTTTTTGTGCAAAGACATGCCCCTGTCAGATTAGATCTGTAGCATATTCAAAGAGGAACAACTGCACAGAGGTGGACAACCACAAAGAGCTCGTGTCTGCAGGACTGATACAGTAACAGCACTAAGGGCACCTGCTTCATGTGTGGGCTATTCCAGCTTCACGGAATGCTGGCAACTGGGTCAGACCACAGCTGCCACATGGGCTTGTTGGGCCAGACCTGGCTCATGGGTCATTTGTTTGACCCCCCTGGTCTATGTTTTATTTGTGAACATTTAAAATAAATATTTCTTAAAAACAGGTTTACAAGGAGACCACATTCATTGTGATACTGTGTCACAAGTCACAAATGTGTTCATTATTCATTGTGCAACAGTAGCTATTGTTACAACAATACAATATGAAATGAAACTGTGAACAAGTACTAGTAAGTGACCTAACAGCAACCTTGAGACTTGCTTTCTCCAACTTTATTATTTAATTAGTACTTCTAGCACTAAAATAAATACTGTATGAAAAAGGGAAAGGGCATATCTTATCCTTCTTGTTTGGAGCATGTCAAGTGCAGTGACCTTGTATGATGTTTAAAAAGAGTTAAAGATATTTCCCATCTGCTCTTTTTCTACAAGGAAGACAAATATAAACTTTATGTTAAAGTTCACAGAGAGTTCAAATGTGCTTTCTGAGGTTCACTGGAAAGGCAGCAGTTCATTTTTAGGTCAGCTTATGCTCTATATCTGTCACAAGTTGCACTGCAGTATTAAGTCACATTTGGCAGTTCAGAAATATTTTTATTAGTAATATAAAGAGGATTTTTCAGTAAATGAAATCACAATAGGAATTCAATCTCAGGCTCTGGTGTGAAACTAAAAACTGAAATGAATGGTTTTAACTGAATTAAAGTTACTGGAAAGTTATGTATGTTGCATGTTTTAATGAATACTGAATGGCAACTCCAAACCAAAATGCAATTCAGAATATATTAGGTAATGGTAAAGAAATCATATGCAGAAAAACACCCTTTAAAAGCCCAACTTCAAAACTCAAAAATATTCTGAGTACAGTCTATTGAATCAGAAGAGATGCTTGGCAAATTTTAGGTCTTCAGTAATTGATGAAACCTTTATAGCCACATTACCTCATGGGATAAGGCTGTGCAAAATAATTACGTGTATAATAATGTATAAACAAGATAAATATAACATTCATTATATATTATAAAACATCGGTAGATAATTTAGACAACACATCACAAGCTATAATTTTTGCTGTAAGTTCAGAAATATACTAAATATACTAAAAAATGTCATAAGTCAAAAATAATACCGCAGTTGCCTCATTTCTGTTTCAATTTACAGAAGACATCTGCTGCACTACTTCAGTTACTCTACAGGTTTAGGAAAAGGACTTGCAATAGTCCGATTCATTTGAGATGATTTGAGACTGCATTAATGTTTTGTTTAAAGGATTATACTTAATTGCAGACAGAGAACCCAAGGCTCCTGCTGTTCCAATTACCCTCTTCTTCTGATAAACTAGTATATGAAGATGTACTTCCAACTTAACAGATACTTGTGAAAAAATAAACATTGAACAAATCCAACTAATGGATATTTTCACGTTTAACACCATTGTATTTGTCCATGGTCTCCTAGACAGTGGTGTTATAATCAATTACGCAAAGTTTTATACTTTTGGGGACTTACACAAGCAGATATTGTCCACCCAACAGGATAAACTGGATTTTACTGTGCAAAATTTTGATTGTATAAGCAATAAACAGAACTCCAGTAAACACCTTGCTCAAAAAGCATCTAACCCCAACCACAGAGATAACTGAGATATTTCTGCTATTTATTTAGCCATCATTACTAAAAGTTCATGTGCAAGTGATATGTTTCAGTGATAAGAAAATCCAGTCAAAGAAAATATTTCAATAACTCAGACTGACCTGGAATTTCAGTTATTGTGGTCAGGGAAAAATCACAGGTCACATCAGGCAGACGATAATTCTTTGGGTCATCAATCTCATACACCAACTGTTCAGCTACTGTGCCGAAGGAAACCAAGCCTCCTGTCTTCGGTGGTTTGGATAATATGAACGTCCCATCAGGGGAACATTCAACAACAGGAAAACCAATGTTGTGCCTAAATAAATGAGGGGGAAGAAAGAAATGGGAATCTATAAACAAAATAAAAATGGTGACTTTTAACAGCTGACTGATTTGAAGATGCAACCTAGAAGGAATCTTTAATTCAAGGTGATATTCATAAGCTGAAGAGATTTGTTTAGTGTCCAAATGAAAACTCAAAGATGTTATTTTAATTTTCCAGTTTATTCATATATTTTCCGATGGGTTATAATGTTATCCACAGTAGTACAATAAACAATTACATTATACTACTAAAGCTACAAATTTAGCTTTATATTATATATTTTCAAGCAAAAGATATAAGATACATTTAAAAGTTGTTCTATATATTATCCTGCAGAATAATTTTATAAAAGAAATTACACTTAACATGTGAAACTGGTCACATTAGGAGGGCTAGATACGGCATTTTAACAAGAGAGGTCCAGAAATAACCCTAAAGAATATCCTTCCTCAAAAACTCAGATAACTTGCAAAACACAACAGCCCAGGGAGGGGATACCAGGCATCTTACCAGTCTGGCACAATGTGCCAATCTGTGAATATTCCTCCAGTACACTGCGCTCCACACTCTATCAGGTGACCTGCAAGACTAAAGGATTCTGAATCAGAAACGCGATCTCTCTCTTACACAATGCATAATCCCTGGAACAAAAGGGATCTCTTCTTATTTCAGGTTCAGTGAGCAGAAGTAGCAAAGATGAGAGTGTATAATAAAAAATGTCTATCCCAACATACAACAGAATTATCCCATTTTCCCCTGCCAGTTACACTGGCTCCGTTTTGGACTTGATATCTTGTTGCAGGTATACTCATTATGAGTAAGGCAACTTGTGGTCTTGTGCTGTTTTGATTTCACATGGAATTTATATCAATTCCTAGTGGTAGTGGGGTAGCTTTACTGCCAGAAGGAGGAAAAGAGGAAAAACTGCATAGAAACCCAGCACAGAGCCTTGGGGGAGTGAGGCACAAAGAGCAAACTAGCAAGAGAACCAGGTATAAGTGCTTGAGATTCCAAGTTAGCAACAGCTGACAGAGGAATTCTGTGATCCACAGTCTCAAAAGCAGCAGAGAGGTCACAAAAGATTAAGACAGATGAGAGGGCATTGGTTAAGGATAGGATTAGTTCCTTAAAAGAACACATTTTACAAGAAAGTAAAACTCATTCAAGCTCAGGAAAAGCAACTAAACATTTACTGTATTAACATCCTAATCCGTGTCAATGCAAACTGTATATTTGCAAAAAAAACAGCACAAAAAGAAGCACATAAAAAGTATAAGAGCCCACAAGAACATTTAATCATCATCTCCATTGTATAGGATGATATAGGAGATGATGCAAGTCACACCTCACTTTTAATGACAGATGCATCCAACCCTCCTGCCTTTTGGAATACAGTACTGTTATTTTTTCTTAGCCCATTGCTCACTGATTTCAAGCAGTGGTTGCATACAGATGTGTCACCACAAAAAAATCATTGGACAATCTGCAAGAAACAAAAATAATTATAGAGATGTGTCTGTTGCAGTTTGGCAAGGATTAAGGCCCAGCATATGCTTACTTCTAAGTTTCTATTACTGAAAAATGCCTTCCCGAAGAAATCAGATTGCAGAGTAGATTATTTACTGCCCATGCTCATGATCATCTAAAGAAGAATAGTCTGAATGGAGGACAGTGCCCTCCATTGAGCCCTCCATGTTCAAAGACAGAAAATGAGGTCCACACAGCTCAGTCAGCACATAGGAACCCCATGAACTAGAATTTCCCTTAGAAAACATGGATTAAATGGTTTACCTTAATTAAATTCTGGGAAAGTGATTAAGTGTTAATGAACAATCACGAAAGACAGTATAAGATTAGATCAAGACAGAACAGAGGGGAAGAACAGAGATGAAGAAAAAGGAGAGACAAGAGGACAGAACATAAAGTGTGTGACAGGTGAGAGGACCCAGATCATCCATAAACAGCAGGATTGAGCTAAATATTTTCAACTTGCTAAAGCACTTTGATCTCCTGAGTGAAGAATCACTTGGTTAAAAACGGCCTCTCCTGGTTCAAGGGTGCATTTCAAAACAGGAAGATAGGATCTCCTTTATTTTGTACCACCCTTTATTTTTTATTTTTTTATTTTGTGGGTTTGCAGAGAGAGATTTAACACCAGATTGTATTCTATTTAGTATAGAATACATCGTATCTCGTATTCTAGCCTTTGTAGGCATTAAGAGTGATTAGGACATTAGGCCTCTGGGAGGCCTTGTCTTTAAACGTGTACCTTACATAGGGAACATTGTATATTGTGTGTAGTGTAGTGTTGAATATTTGATTTACCAAGTGTGCTTGAATTACTCTTTTCAGCAAAGCTGTGCCAGAGAACAAAGAATTAATGTGCCTCTAACTATACCAACCACTTGGGTACAGTTTATTCTTTGCAAACTCCTTACAAGTTGGTGGTTATGATTATTAAATATACTTATTGATTTCATCCACTTGTTAAGTTCTCACTTTTTTCTCCTTTTCTGTAACCCCTTATTTATAATAACATCTAGAAAGCATATATACCATATAGTATATAGTTTTTATCATATAATCACATGTTTTGGGGCTGAAATGGACATTCTACAATTACATACAACACTCTATTAGTCTGTTAAACTAACAGTCGTTGTATTCCATTTTTCAGTGTAAGCTGTATTTAATAATTTAATTCTGCTCATTTAATGGTCCATAACACAATCAACACTCCTCATCTAAATAAAATAATATTTATCCACAAGTTGTGACTAAAATATTTAATATAGCAAGATTTTAATAAATGTGCTTTGATATAAACTTCAATTTTCTCTTTGAGACATTTAAGGATAATAATGAAATGTTTACCTTCCAGCTGCCAGTAAGTCATAGCTGCTCTTCTTCCATCCAAACTGCATTAAGGAAAGATGAAAAGCACGACAAACAAACGTGGCAGTTAATGAGACGTTATCATGTTAACAAGCTTTGTTTCTGGCTACAGGATTCATAATACAACCAGACCAGAGGTTCAGAAATATTTATACAACCATGAGAAGAAAATATCAGCCACAGAAAAATTATAAAAAAAAACTGCTACCACTGAAAGCTCAGCACGTAGTATGAAGACAAAACATACAGTGTTATTCCTCCTCTAGTGACTCCATTTAAGCAACCAGAATGAGAAGACTGATCTTTGTTAGGGAAGTAAATTAAATAAAATGTGTTAATACCACATTTTTCATCAATTTCAAATAAGCTTATTCTATTGCTCTACTAAAAATAGATAATAGAATGAGATGTTACACTTTCACCAAACCACTTCTACAAAGAGATTAGCAAAAATAACCTGCACACAGACTAAGAAAATAAAGAATTGTTTAGTTTAATCTCTTATTAAGGTCTCAAAACATTTTAAACCATGTAGTGAACCTTATGGATTAAAGGATCTCACATTTTTCCCAGGAGCTTTCAACACAGGCTAAATTCAAACAAAGCTCAGACAGACTGTATATCTTACTGATGTGACTAATTTTGCAACATACCGAGTGCATGAGTGGCCCCAGGACTACTGCACTGTCTACACATCGACCAGTTACAACTATATCTGCCCCCAGGTCCAAACACCTCTTGATGGGTAAGGCACTGAAACAACGAAAGATAAAAACACAAAGCATTTAAGCATTTAAGTCCTGATTATTTCACAGTAAAAAGGTCTTTGTAATAGATGTTCTCTCCTTTGTGGTTAAAAAAGTACTGTGTTTTATCATATGTTTCTGAACATAAACTAAAAGATTTGAAACCGCCGTTTGACTTGACCAGCACTTTTATTTTATACAGGATCATATCAGGACTATTCAAATTCACTGTTTTTCTTGTATTCAGTTAAATCACAGGAATCTTTGTGAGCTTATTAATCCCCTTTTTACAATTCCACTTTTAATTAATTTTTCATTTTTTAATCTTTCCTTACTTCTGATACAGATATATCAAAAGCCAATTCTTTCCTGAGTTTATATCAACAAGCAGCACTTAAACATACTATGAATAAGAATTCACACTCTGACAGTGCACCGGATGGCTAGGGTATGTATTTTGTTTGCATCATCCAACTTACAACATATAACCGGTAACCTGGTTAAACAGCATTAAATTCTGTCTTACCCTACATATGCATTCATGCTGTGAATGTTCTCCGGAAATGACTTCCTACTTTCAATCTCTCTGATACCAAGCACTTTTACTGAGTCTTTCTAAACAGAAAAAAACAAACATAAAAATATGTAATACAAACAAATCTGAAAACTTATATATAGAAGTACAAACCACTGTAAGTCTACAATGACAAGTAGACATGACAACTGAAGATTAAATACAAATAGTGTTTAATTCTATTTAGAGTGCCTTATAAATGTATTCACCCCCTTCCACACTGTGAAATTACAATAATGTGTAATTATTGTAATTATTAAAGTTAGTTCAGTTACACAAAATTTGACACATCACAAAACTTAGTTGACCTCTGCCTATGTGAAATATCAGAGGTTGACATGATATCAGAATAAATATGTCTCTGTAAGGAGGAAACTGGGTAGGAACACCACTAACAAGGCCAGTCATTCTGCATACATGTAACAAAATGTTTGAGATAATATTCAAAATATCCAGCACATCACCCAGTCACTACCATCCCTACTTTAGAACATGGTGGAGTCTCAGCACCTGACTGAGAGGAAATTGAAAGTAGCAGAGAAATCTTGGAGGAAAACATGCTCTCATCTGCTGAAGACCCAAAATAGGGGATAAAAATTCACCTTTCATCAGTACAGACCAAAACAAAAGGCGAAAGCTATACTGGAAAAAAGAAACAAGAAGAAAGTGAATGTTCTTGAGTGGCCCAGTCAAATTCCTTAGCTGAATCTGACAAAATATCATCTGCCAAGCACGAACATTGATGTCTAGCAGCAATGAAAATCCACACAATTTGACAGAGTTTGATCTAGCTTGCAAACACGAAGAGGTGAAAACTGCACCATCCCAGTGCACAACGTTTATAAAGACTTATACGCTGCAAAAAGATGTACTGTATGCACCGCTGAAGTTGCTTCTACCATGTTTTGACTCAGGTGATTCAAGATATTTTAGTTTTTGAGTTCAACATATTTTAGTTTATGCGTTTTCATTGCAGTGTTTGGCAATATTTAACTTTAACACATAAAAGTCCATTGTTTAAACATTCAAAATGCGACTACACAATTTTTAAAAAGTGTATACATTATTTGTAATTCAAAACATTGGGACATCATAGGAAGGGGATGAACACTTTTGCGAGGTTCTGTGGATCCAATTTTAATCAACAACTGGTCAATCCCAAAGAATTTTCTCCAACTCTGGAACTGTTCAAAACAACTACAGACCAGGCCAACTAAAGACAGTAACCCACCCATCAGGATAAAATCATGGATAAATAACTTAAAATTGCCCTCTAGAATAAAAAGGTTTAGAAAATGATTTTGGAATCCTAGCAAGTAAAAGTATTTAATATTGCATTACAGGTAATAGGGGAGGCAGAGTGGCACACTGGTTGCTGCCTCGCAGCACTGGCTTCCTGGATTCAATTCCAGACCTGCGGTGCTATTTGTGTGGAGTTTGTGTGTTTCTGTGTGTGCCATGAGCTGAAGTGGAGTCCCGTCCAGGGTGTATCCTGCCTTGATCCTGCTGCTTGTCAAGATACTCCCAGCCCCCACACAACCCTGAACTGGAATAAACAGTTAGAAAATGAATGGATTGCAGGTACTTACTAGAATTACTACATTACTAGAAGGCTTATATGAACCTTCTGAGGCTATATTTGCCACTATCCAGAAATAAAAACTTAGCACGATGAACAAGAGTTTCCCCACCTCTGACATCAGATCATCTCCGGTGACCACAGCGATCTTGAGGCTGAGTCCAGCTTTCCTCACTATCTCATACAGAGCTTCTGCACAAGCAAGAGGATTTACACCCCCAGCATTGCTCACCACACGAATACCTGCACATATAGTAAAAGCACAACATGGAAACCTGGCTGAAGGAACACCTTGACCTACAGAACTAGTCTTATAATTTTCTGATTAATTTTGTGATTTCAGCTATGTGGTTTATAATATCACACTTTATTTAAAATGTCACACCTTGTTTCAGTATTGGATTAGTAGAACTCACAAAATGGCTAGTGAACAATTCCAAATCTTGTAAAAACACTGTAAGGCATCAGCCTTTAAACTGTGACAGATTATGTTTTAGCCTCTTCTCCATGACACATTTCAGAAACATAGTCTTTTTATTTCATATATCCATCTTGCTCTAACCTAATCTAAGAAACATGGAGTTATTTTGGCAGAAACTTTACATCTGTGAACAACTATAGTTTTTTTTTACTAACCACAATCCTTTCGATTTGACTGCTCTCTTAACTCCCACTTGTGGTCAATATTCAGAAATAATCTGATGAGACCTCTGACAGAAACAAAGTCTAAATTATTCTAAGAAAATTCCTCAAAGCTAATAATGAAGAACTGAGGAGGGCTAGAGTATTGGTGTCGCAAAGACATTTCACTTCCTAATAAATCAGGACACCTTCTACAGTACATCTTAATGTTTGTCTAATCCAGTAGCTCTGTTGTTAAATTGTTTTCTCTACAACTAAACAAGCTGTTCACACTAAAGTCACACTTTCAGCCGAGAATACTACACCAATAAAGATGCGAAAGAAGGAAAACTACTGGACATTCATACTTTAAGTGTTAAGAAAATGTTTTTGAATCCCAAAGATAGATATGGGGATTTCATAGTTTTACCATGAATCAAAAACAGTCTTTATATAAATACTCAATAGAGTTTATACTATAGTAACCACATGTCTCTTGAACCAAAATTATGTTTAAATCGAACAAAGAATGAGTGATGAAGGGGCAAGGGATTACAAGAATTACAAGCACATTTACAAAAGAATGACTGCCGAAGAAATTCTACATTTTACAATGGCCTAGTCAAAGTCCAGGTCTAAATCCCATGGCAGGGCCTGAAGTGAGCTGTCCACTCAATTGTCACAAAGTTGAAGGCGCAATAAGGAGCAATGGGCCAAAACTTCTCAAATCTGATGTTATTAATTGATCACTGGTTACAGGAAACATTTATTTGCAGTCATTGCTGCCCAAGGGGATGTCACCAGTTACTAAATCTAACGGTTCACATACCTTGTCACACATGGTATGACATTTGACACACATTGTCAAATACATGTTGAACGAGTATCATGTTTTGTGTCATTTGTTTCATCAGGTTAACTTTATCTATTATTAGGACTTAGGATAACTGTTCAGGTTTCAGATATACACATCTAAAACTAATTTTACAGCTAGCCTTTGCAATGGTTTTGAACCTGCCTTTGGTCACCTCTCTTTTGGACATTGCATGCATGGTTTGTTGACCTTTTACCTTTTTTATGGATGTCCTTAATGAATGGTGCTATAGCAATGTGCACAAAATCTGGGGCATAACCCAAGTTCTGCAAAAGGAAAAGAAAAGCAGATGCAGGTGAGAGATGCAGTTCAGCTAGTAACATTGTCATTAATCTGAAGATCCAATCTTCTTTTTGAAAAATAATTACATAGAGTATGTTTTCTGGATGTACTATTATAGTATTCTCAAAATCACTGCTTCTATATGGTGTTTTTTAATGTCAATTAAGTAGATAACATTTTTCTTATGAGCGGCGTGGTTACATGGTTTTAAAATCCTCAGCATTTTGTATATTTTTTTACTTGTAAAGTGATCCTTCAGTGTCAAGATGACAGTTTTAAGAATCAGTAATTATCCAATACATTTACTAATGATTAAATAGCCATAATACTATTTTAGAAAGTGAATTTACAAACTCAGGAAAAAAGAAATCGCCATATGTACACACCAAATTGTGTCTGCTAAATTTCTCTAGAAATCGTAAGCCAGGAGCGGGGGTTTTTGAAACTAAAGACTGAATGCAATAACCAGTTAAAGATCTAATTAAGCAAGCAGTACAAATAAAAGATCAATTAGTCCATGTTATTAGAAGCTCAGAGAGATCAAAAGGAACAGAGCTCCTCTACAACTAGGCTTGAGAAATTCATATGACATTTCCAAGGCTCTGATCAGAAAGATTCTTTCTCGTAATGACAACAGAAAGGTATGGAATATTTTCATATATGATCAAACAAAAAAGCCATCATCTCTTTATTCTCTAAAAAGTACTTTTTAACAAACATCCACAGCTGTAAAGACTAAAAAAACCCAACAAGATTATTTGAATTTGGTTACACACTACAGGAGAATCTGAATGATTAAAGAGCATTTGTGCATTCATGTGCTGTATTGTGTTATTCACTTTTTTAAATTGTATTGTAAAAGCCTCAGTTTTTTATTTCTTCAGAAAACTGTAATGATTGATATTATACATAAATGTAATATATATGTCTATGTCAATTTCATGGATTTAATCACTCTGTCATTCTAAAATCTTCCCAGAAACCATACAAATAGTCTCTGCTCCCTTTCATACAAACTGTTTCAATAATCTAAAATTAAGAGCAGATCTTTTATTTTCTTTGAAAAAAAAAAGTCATATAAAACAAGTTAAAGAAAGGATATTTCTTAAAATGATTTTTCATTTAATTCTCATCCATTGTACTCATGTTTCCCATAGATGCAGGATTTCTTCACAATCAACATTGCATTCAAATAATGAATACAAAAGGAAGCTTTTAAGAGTAATTATTTGATATGTTTTATTTATTTGTGGATGCAATGTTACACAACCCAGCTTAAAAGAAAATTCTTTTAAATTTCCCAATCTTGTCAAACTACTTTAAAGAACAAGACAATCCAATGACATACAGTATTGAGCATTTAAAAATATTTGTATATGGTCATACTTACTGGAGACTTGGCTTTTGCAGCAGTGAGTAGTGACATGGTTATTTCAGACAAGTAGTCAAAGACCAAGAAATCCAACTTTCCTCCATATATTAGCTGTGGGACTGCAAAATATATACATTTAGTCTGAACAGTATACACATGTAACACTTCATGGTAAGCCAATATTCAATTATTTTTTAATTAATATATATATACAAAAATGTTTTTAAGTTACTACGTTCCCATCATTTAGGATACCTAGCCACGCAAAATGCACTTTGGGGAATTCCATGTACAGAAGACAGAAATTTTAGATGGTGCTGAAATAGGAAGGTCTAATTCAGAAAACGAGATTAATACGACCAAAAACTTTTTGTTACATTTGATTTCAGCATCAGGCAGGCACAAAATACCATGTTTAAATAATACACATGCACGCACACTAAATTCAACAATACGTGTTTTAGCATACTGTACGTCATTTACAAATATACCACCAAATTTACAAACTACATGGAAAAAGTTAGTTCAAAGCAAATAACATTTTGGGAGGGGGGGGGCTATGTTAGGAATGTATTTAAGCAAACTCGTAGCCTTGGGTAATAAAATGATCGACTCAAGACTATTTGTGAATACAATTTCAAAAACAAGGTTTTCGTGAGGAGTAAAGACAGAAAAGGGGAAAATAAAATGTTTCTTGCTCATAGTTATGGTAGCTAGCTATCTCTGTCCTAGTCTTAGCTAAACTGAAATTTACCTGAGACTGTTGTGTCTCCCCAGAAACCAGAAGCACATCCTATTCTGACAGTTTTTTTAGATGAGGAATAATTTCTTCTACATACATTATTATCCCGATGATTATTGCTCACGTAATCCTCTGCGTATCGGAAACTGGAAACATTGATATTTGTGTGAAATAATTTATTTCCGACTCTGAAAAGAATACTCCTAACCAAAGCGGAATCGCATCCGCTACGGTAGGCAGCAGCATGTAACCTTAAAAGCTCTATCATTTCAAAACTAATAGGACGTAAATAAATTATAGTAAAACAAATCCCAAAGTTCAATAATAGCTGTGTGTTACACAATTTATTCCCGTGTAGCCCTGCAATCCAAATATAACAAGTTCCGCTTTCTGACTGTATTACATTATTTTAACTCTAGATGGTAGCAAAGATCTATTTTTTTCTGTCATCTAAAACGTCCATGTACTCAAAACACATCATTTTATTTGGTTAATATTACAATAATTTAAAGAATTATGTCATTACTGTAGGGCTGCACATTGCTACCTCACAGCGCTGGGGCCCAGAGTTCAGCTCCTGAGGTGCTATATGTGTGGAGTTTGTATGTTCTTCCTGTGTTCTTGTGTGTTTCCTCCTAGTGTTCTGGTTTCCTCCCATGGTCCAAAGACATAAAGTACTGGTAAATGGCTTCTGGGAAAATTGAGTGAGTGAGTGTGTCTATATCTGTGTCTGTGTGTGCCTTGTGACGGACTGGTATCCTGTCCAGGATGTATCCTGCCTTGTGCAAATTACTTGCCACGTTACGCTCCAGCACCCCCACAACCCTGAATTGGATGAAGTGGTTAGATAATGGATGGATGGATACAATATGTTAGAATATGAAATACAGTTAAAGCGATTTATTATTCTATTAATATTTAAATAAAAATGTGGAAGAAGGCAGCACGACTGAGATACATATAGGGAGTGGTGCTGTACACGCTCAGAGTCTTTGATGGATCGGGTTCAAATCCCAGCAGGGGTAGGGAGCACTGCACTTCAATGCAATGTACTGTACAATTTAAACATCCCTTGTTTTATATACTGCACTTCTAACTATCCAGCATAACATTCAGTTTACCCTTTTTACTGCTTCACCAAATAGTGAGAAAATTAAAAAGCAGTCAACACTTAAACATTGGTAGCTTCCTAAAGCTTAGTTTTCCCTATCTTAAATATATATATATATTTTTTTTCTCTGTATAGCATTGTACACCTGTCTATGTTAAATGTCACCTGCCAGGATTTTCTCAATCTTGAATTTTGTTTAAACTTGTTTGAATTTCCTTTATAGCTTCTAACATGTTTGCTTACCCTCTTTTTTTGGTATTAATTACAAGCTTGACGAGTTTACTATACTACTAGAAATTATGATGAGCAGTGGTTTAAATACAGATACTGTACATGTGGTACTTTACTAATTGTAATACCCCCATTCTGAGGACTTACCTTTTTTCTGTATTTTACATAAAGCAACATTCCATAAAAAAACATGCATTACTTTGAATGCCTACTGTCAGCAATTTGAGAATTATTTTTTATATAAGCACACTTATTAGGTGTCAATTATGGTGTTGCTGTAGTCTGGCTTTGTGAGATGTTTGAAGTTTAGCAAGGTTGGGGTAGGATAGTACATCAGTGGGAAACACCTAAGGGAAAACAATCATTTAATTGGTATTGGTGGACCTACAGTATAGATAGCACACTTCCTGTACAGTATGTTATCCTGTGGTGAATGGTCATTAAAATAACATGGCACTATTCATTAGCGTACAGTATTGCAGTTATCCACATGTCCTATCTACACTACATTTTTCGCTTCCTAAATCTCCCAACAAATCATTTTGAATGCAATTCCAATTGCTTACTTTTCCAGCTGCACTGCTGTGTTAAGTGTCTGCTAGAAGTTTTGTTGATGACCTGCAAATGCATCTCTTTCCCCTTATAATCATATAATAATAAGTATAATCATAAGCATACTGTTAGGAGCCCAAGATTTGTTGATCTTGTTTCCAGTACCTGTTACAGTTCTATTCTTCTTCTAGGCTGATATAATTGAATACAGAGTATTCAATTATACATCTTTCATCAGCCTGAGGCATGTTGTTGTTTTTCCCTTTGTAAATACCTCAGTGAAATATTTCTTTAATATATCACTCATTCCCCTTTCATTGTTTAAATATTTCCCATTTTATCACTGAGACATTTTAGTTTATCCTGTGCTCTGCTTTTGCTGTTGTAATACAATATCTAGCTTGATAACAAGTTTCTTACTTATATTTACATTTAAGAAGAATGTGAAGCTTACCCAGCAATTCAAAATGACTTGTGTTACCATCACTTTGAAAAAACATGTATTTGGCAAAAGTGAATTACTGGCAATCAGTTATTACCAATTCACAGAAATATTTGATCTTACTCATTTTCTGCTAATTTTCGAGCAGTGTTCACAAACAGGCAGGCCAAAAGGATATCAAAAAGGCCATTGATCTCTTGAACAAGGTAAAACATACAATGGCACAGTACCATTTCTTTTAGGTACACTCTGAAACAGTCAAAACAAACTCCCTAAGTAGCTAAATATTGTCATACAATTTCATTTTGGAAATTTTTCCAAGTTACTACAGTCTTTTGTAAATAACAAAAAATGTTCAATGTGTATTATGCAATAAATCAAGAAAAGGATTATTTTCTCCAGTGCAATAAAGGCAAATAATTAAGACATTCTTTATAGGATTGTCTTCAATTTTAAAATTGAAACATTACAGAAGTGACAAAGGTTATTGTTCCAGATGTGACTGTAAATATGTAGCAGAAATTATTGTAAAAACTTTAGTTTGGGGCTCCATTATAAGTAATCAAGAACAATCTACTGTATTGTTCTTCACTATATATTTTGCTTCAAACGATCATAAGACATTATTAAAAGTTATAACATTATTATAAAACTAAAACCCCTATTTAATTCTATAATACATTAATAATATTATTACAATGTTAGAACACATTTTATCAGATATGCTCATAACTAGTTTCTATAAATGGATACAGACAAGCACATACTGCTTGTATTCTGTGTGTAAGATGTCTTATGGCTAACAACAGTAATAACAGTATAATAACAGTAAAAAAGTTATTTAATTACTTTAATAATAACTTAAATTTATAAATACTCTTTAGTATGTATGAGTATACAATTAAGTTAAAAAGTGTGCATCATTTTAAAGGTGACAAAATATGTATGTTCAGAGGTATAGAAATGTATGAGGTACTGTATGTTCAGAGGTATAGAAATAATCTGCGTGCAATCTGCATGTGAGATGCCAAAATTAAATTAAATAATGTGTGTGATTCAGACGAGTACATGGAAGTATATGCAAGTTCATTATTAGCAGGTTAGTTCTGACCCACGTTCATTAATAAATTACTCTTTTAAAAACATAACTAAAGTAACACAAAAAAGTCCATGGAAGCTTTTTGCATATAGAATCCAAATGTTCAACCCGTGCCAGTCTATACACATTTCTAACAGTATTTATACAGTAAGCATCTGTTATCAAGCATGGTATGACATTTGGAATTACATTCGTAATTCCTTCTGTAAGCAACTATTATTACAGATAACTTTGTAAACTGTTATTGGAATCTAAATTGGGTGATTAATTATTTAATTAATCAGAAAATCATTTGGAAGCTGATGAAAATGAAACAATTATCTTGAAACAACACAACCTCAATTTCCTGAACAAGCCCTTTATAAAAAACATAATGTAGTTGAGTGCTTTATTATTCAATGAAAACTAGGACCGTGAAATCTATGTTAAATCCCATTTGAGTAGAATTTGTCCTGAAGTTTATAACATTAAATTAATACCTGTTTTAATTCAGTCAAATAAATTAGTAATACTTTAAAAATGATACTAATATCAGATCACATCTTGTAAGGTTAATTCAAACAATCCTGGAATAGAACAGCATTGAAAAAGTGCATTGTTCTGCCAACACAGATCTAAAACCTACTCAACTTCTGTAGGACAATTTTGTGAGAATAGTTGACAGCTGGTGCTCAAGAGACCAACTCTGTCCATCCAGTTTCTAACCACTTTATCCAATACAGGATCACTGAGGAGCTGGCAAGCAATGTGCGCAAAGCAGGTTACACCGTTGATCATATGCCAGTCCATCATAGGGCACACACAGTGGGAGGAAGCTGAAGCACCTGGAGGAATCCACATGAACATGGGGAAAACATACAAACCCCATGGAGACAGCTCCCCAGGAATTGAGCCCAGGACCCCAGTTCCACAACCATGTACTGAATAAACCATGTACAGTTTAGAACATGGATGGCTAGATGGATTATTATTAACAATCAAAGTTACAAAATCCAAGTATTAAGGACACAGTTTCTTTTAACACAAGAGTATTAGGTTAAAGGAAATATGAAAGTCCAAATCATCATTGTACAGTTTTCAAATAATAAGTTCATTAGATAGCAACTTTGAGGTATTCCCGTACATTTTCTAAACTGCTGTAAATGCTCTTGACTTGGCCTGATTGTAGTCATGGGGTTCAAAAGTTCAAGGGTTAATGCAGGTAAGTCACTTTGTTTCATCACACAGATCCAACACTTGTATTTACTGATCACTGCTTTGTGAGGTAAAAGCAATCTTTCAAGACTCCTTCTGCAGCTGCTGGTTATTGATTTATTTTTTACAAAATACATACAGTACATCCCCCAAATCTTACAAAACATCCTCTCTGTTCTGGCTAAATCCCATATGAAAAAGGAAATACATATGTTAAAATTAAAACTATATAATTAAAAAATATATAAATTGCAATATCAAAAATGGTGTGAAAATAAATCGAAACTGAACACATAATGACATGTATCTTAATTTATATCCCAATGTATTTCTGACATACAGTGGCTTTTCTATGTGTAATTTTATCATTATATGCCTGAAATGTATTTGTACAGTAAACTCAATACTAAGAGGATGCATCTTGTTTGAAAACTTCAGTTTTTACACACATATTCTTACACTGCAGTGCAAAAGTTTCTTATTTTCTCTCACTGTTTTTCCTACTTGATGAAGAAGCAGTTTCTAACTTTTCATATCTTTTTTTACTATAACACAGTCAAAGGTGTTATAATAGCAGAAAACACATTGATAAACAAGATGTCACAGGTTAGTGTGTCTGCATGTGTGGACACTAATGGAAGCATTACAGTTGCATTGTACGTCTGCAATGAATGTTTTCCGCAGAGATGCAGATGTTGTCTTGTAGGATTCTGTCCCATTCCTTTCATAATTTAGGTAAAGGACATGTCTGTTCTCTGGTGTCTGACCCCTAGATGCCACACATCATTCTTTCACATCCCACAGAAGTTAGACTTGATCCCCATCGAACAAGTAGGACATCCACAGTATAGCTGTCCCACAGTATAACATCCCACAAGAAATGCACAGTTTACATGAGAATGTGTATTGTGTAGCTGGAAAGTTGTCTTGTCAGGATGAGCCCACAGAAAGGAAATCAAATAAATTCATAGGACTTGGTCAGAGTAGCTCTGTGCGGTCAGGTTGTTATTAGTATTCTAATCAATCAGTTCTACCCTTATTTCTGCTGGCAAAGGAGGCGCAAAAACAGAGCAGTCATATGAAAAGCCCCTTGTATTAGCTACTGGAATTCTCATGGTTGACCAAAGGGCTTACCACTACTTTACCCCTTATGAGAAGCATGCTCTCTGTTTCTCCAAGCAGAGAAACATGTCTTGATCAAGTGTATATATTTCAGATTTTAAAAACATTTTTAATTAATATTCAAATACAGTATAAAATGTATCAGAATAATGTGGACAAATGAAGACATTGCAGAAGCCATCATTTATATATAAATATGAATGATAAATATATGTAAATATTTTCTTTTAATTTTATTAAGATTATTAGATTTTTAATTTATTTATGCTGTTTATCAAATGTTTAATTACTGGTTCTTCAATATTGTGCACATAAACATTCCTATTCATACTGCACAGGTTCCATACACATGGTAGAGATCATTAGGTCAACAGGTCCCATTCTAAATGCCTAAAAAACCTAAACAAGCACCACAAAATACTGTACACATCAGGGACAAAGTAGGAATGGGATCCAAGCTGACATAATGCCTGGGTTCTTCTATTGTGTACTGACGTATTTGTGTGTCATTACAGAGTTAGATTTTGTCTCAAGCAAAACTAATTCTGAATGATTTCGCATGGAATTTATTGCACATTCCTTGTGCAATGGGAAAGGAGTGAGAGAGCAGCATGGCATATTACAAAATGTTCACTTTTCTAGTCTCTGTTTATCAGTTCTTTATACTCCAACCTGCAAGACCTCTAAGTATGAGCTACTGTATATTCAGGTGTCCTAAACAACTACAATAAAGGTCTGTACATTTTACAGAATAGTTTCATACAACTAGATACTGCATGTTGTATAGGTCTTAAAGGGTCTTTCCTAATTATTTTGAAATATCATGTTCTTCACCTGTGTATTTTGAACATTTACTTGACCTTGACTGTGAATGAGTGAATGTTTGCCAACCTGACTTCTACCCACACATTCACCTGTGTGCCCTGAAAATTTCACAACTTTAGAAACATAATCCTGGGGCATGTAGCTGAAGAAAAGAAACGTGCTGATCCTGACTAACCCTTTTGGTTAGTGACCAATTTGTTTGCTAATCCGCTTTATCCTTTATGCATCATTTAGGTGCCCATGATAAATGGGGGTAAAAGCAGGTTCAGAACTTGTGATTGCTAATTCTCACATGATATTTTATTGGATGTAACATCTGCCAATGGTTAAATAAACACACCAAAGTATTTTTTGTTAATGGCCTTTTTTTAGAACATTTGCAATGGTAGGTTCAAAGAGGAATTCAAGTACCACACAGTAGTAGCAGTGAGAACTCCAGCAACTCAATTTTCAGGAGAATAGAGAGTCAGAAGCATACTGTAGGACCTTTTTATGGTGATTACAGACTGGGAGACTAAACATACAGTACCACACTATAGACACACAGGGGAAAAGAAGAAACAGTGAAGAACACCCCTACATACGGTAAAATGTCATAAAATGAGTTGTAATAAATGTCTATTACTGCTGAGTTTTTGGCCATTCTAAACTATTCTTTGGGGAGGCTTCCAAAATCCTCTTCTGCACTGTTTAATGGGCTAAGTCAATATTTGATCACCAAGCATTAGTAATATCATTATATAGAACTTTCATTCTTTTGTAAGGGTTTGCAGTTTTAATAGGAGTTGAGCATCGAACAGAATTTCATATACCATTGACGTGTGGCACTCACCTTGCTGACACACACTAGCCATTTAGCAACAGTGGTCACGCTATTAAATATACAATTTTAAATATTACAGTAGTATCTTATCTGAAAGCTGGTGCCACCTACAGCACAGTGTCTCTAGTCATTGGTTCACAATAACCTGGTCCACAGGGAATACTTCTGTAGTTCATGAACATTTTGTAGTGGGAACCTGTTTTCCTTAGTTGTCTCTTATCCCAGTATGGACCAGTCCTGCTTAGCTTCTGAGACCTGATGAGATCAGGCTGAGAGATGGTAATGCTAATTTATCATCTTGTAATATAACTATTCTGTCTCCAGGCCTTTCTGTATATAGTTTGGAAAAATAGAGACTTCCTCCTACTTATTATTTATCAATTGGTCCCTGTTTCATGCCACAATTCAGACCATATGGTTGTTTATTTTCATGCTTAGTTTTAATCAGGTGTTACTGTTACCAGCTTGTGAGAATGCCACAATAGTCCAATACTATTTTTTCCTGATGTCTGATCTCTGGTCCATATGGGTCATCCTTCTTAAACATCAAAGATACAAGCATGCAACATGTGATTTACTGCACAAAGCTAGAGGGAGCTTGTTGGTTCTAGGCCTAATAATAACTACTGAGAATTGCAAGTAGTCCTCTGGAACTGTTTTCGTCACAGCTCTTTCCCTCATCAGTTACAGCAGGGACCTAAAAGTCATTCCTTAATCAATATTGTAACGCAACGGGGGCTCAGGCGGGCGCCCTTGCCGCAT